CCTCGCAAGTTCTTAAGTCTGTTTACCACTCTGTAATGAAACAATTACACTAACTGCCTCATTCCGGCCCTTGGGGATTAGTTCACCAACTGCCTAGTTTGGATTTAATGATCTATTTCTCCCAGAACCTGTTTGCAGTCCTTAACTATCTCACTATCTCATCTTCACTATCACGCGTTACTGTTGACATACGCATTCTCCCAATCATATGTGATGGTGAGATAATTGTTCTTAACATCATCATTAAGCTCTTGCTATTCCATTTTTACTCATTTACCTTATCACATTCTCACGACACTCACTTTCACTCCCTGAACTTCCACACATTCGGTCATAAACTCGTCATTTTCAGCTTTCATTTGCTCACTATTAGTAGTAGGCATCCATCAGTCTCAGGAGACTATGGTGTTGTGCTCTGGAGTGGCCTCACTAGGGCGCAAAGCCAGGCTAGGTTGATGTGGAGGAAAAGCTGTTACCCATGCAGCAGGTCCTCCCTCTCCACGGCGCCGAAAGTTCCCAATGGAAAGGCGAACGCCAATACGATTGGTTCCAGCGCCGACGCAGGAACTGAATTCCGGGTTACTATTACTCACTATTACACCCTAGCTAATAGGCTCTAACACTTTCACTACTGCACGCTTGCTATAACATCTTTCTTACCTAATGTCTCTATCATGTTTTTATTGTTACACCTCACTATCATCGTCACCCTCATCACAATCACACTTGTCATCACGTTATTACAGCAAGAGCACTATCACACCCTCATTGTCAAACTCTCACCATCATGATATTAAAGCAACACCACCACATTTCTCACTTTCACCATCTCTAATGAGCTAGCATCGCGTTCTGTCGCAGCCACACTCTTCATGTACCCCATTCGTGCTCTAAATCGCGATCAACGCGGTCACGCGATCCTCCGTTTGGGCGCTACAGGTGATTATGCTCGGGTATTAAGTCACCTGATGTGAGGCTAGCGAGTGACGGGCTCACCATAGCCCGTGCTACTTGGAACTTTTTGTTCCCAGTAGCTGAATCTAACACAACGTTAGCGTGGCTCTTAAGAGTGCCACCGGGTGCCAGAGTCCCGCCTGTATATCAGTGTTTGTGCCAATGGTGAATTACGGCCGGGTTCTGGTCGAGAGACACGGTTGACTTGGGCGTTAAATCATGGTTGATTCTGCGGTAAATTACATGTGACCTTTCTAACGACAAGTTAAGGGGTGATTACTTAGGTGAATCACAGTTGATTTATATGGTAATGGCATGTTTGTTTCTGATGTAAACTATGACAGAATTCTGAAGTAAATTATAACTGACTTTCCATCAGTTTAGAGTTTTTTCGATTGTAATTGTTGGTATCGGAGGCAAACAATGGTTGATTTTTGGCCTAAATTCCGTTCCATAAGTGCGATTGATTTTCACTAAATTTTGAGTGATCATTACAGTATATTTCAACTGATTCTCAAGGAAAACCCCAATGTTTACTCTGAGATTTTTCCTCATAGTAAATTTCTGTTAAAACATGATAAATTTAGATTGATTTCCATGGAGTAATAGACACTTGCTGGTTGGTCAATACTCTACTTTGATGGCTTTATTAATCCTCTCGCGGGTGATATTCACTCATGAAGATATCATTATTCATTAAAAGTTTGCTAGCTCACTTATGTCACACCTTCTGGTGATAACAAACCTCTCAGAAGGGAATCTTAGTGTCATTCGGCTATCTTAGACATGATCAGATTATTAGATATATAATATCATGAAATATTGAATATAAAAAGCAGTATCGACGGCTATGGGGAGGAGAAGGTATAAACGCTGTGTGTAAAAAGATTTGATCATACTACTTTAACCTACAACATAACCTGAATCTACCTAAAGTTGTACCTGAAGTCATTATCTCTCTAGTGGCCTCGACAGGAACAGGAAGCCGGCAGGGATGTCAAAGGTCCCCCCCCCCCCACATATAAGTGACATAGCCTCGAGCTACCAAAAAATGTTCAAAATGACTGGGCAGGACTTTGGCGGCATAATTCAAAGTCTGTGTGAATAATAACTGACTGATCAATAATAACTGGTGTGAATAATAACTGACTGATCAATAATAACTGGTGTGAATAATAAATGGCCCAGAGAACCACTTGACACAAGGTACACACTTGAAACTTCAAGGACACTTGAAACTTGTATTTTTTTATTTATATATACAAGAGTTCTTACATTCTTGTAAAGCCACTAGTACGCACAGCGTTTCGGTCAGGTCATTAATTTTAATTTCCCCTGGAATACGGCCCGCTAAATTGTTTAACAACCAGGTACCCATTTACTGCTGGGTGAAGAGAGGCGTATAGTTAAGGACTGGCGCCAAGTTAATCCTCCCAGGCCAGGATAGGAACCCAGGCCAAATCGCTTGCAAAGGGCGGGGCGAGTGTCTTACCATTGCGCCACGGGGACTGTTTCTCGAGTGATCTTGAGCTTTGTATATTGGTGACGATTAGGGTACGCAGAACAGAGCTTGGGAAAGATTTACTTGGGCACATTTGATCGTCGTGGTTAGGTTATCTTGTGATAATTTCGGGGATTTTTAGTGTCCCCGCGGCCCGGTCCTCGACCAGGCCTCCACCCCCAGGAAGCAGCCCGTGACAGCTAACACCCAGGTACCTATTTACTGCTAGGTAACAGGGGCATAGGTTGGAAGAAACTCTGTCCATTGTTTCTCTCCGGCGCCTGGTATCGAACCCAGGATCACAAGTCCAGCGTGCTGTCCACTCGGCCGACCGGCTTCCCGGTGGTGGGTGTTAATGGAGGATGGGTCGGGGCAGGGGAGAGATTTCGTCACGTGAAGGGGATGGTAGAGCTGGACACTTGTGAATATCTCAGATAGCTGAGACAATACGTCAACCAGACCACACACTAGAAGGTGAAGGGACGACGACGTTTCGGCGAGTGTCACAGTCGACTTGAGAATGGTCCAGGACGGTCCGAAACGTCGTCGTCCCTTCACCTTCTAGTGTGTGGTCTGGTCAACATACTTCAGCCACGTTATTGTGACTCATCGTCTACAATACGTCAATTTCTGCATATCTCTTTGGTGAGAATGTTGAAGAAAGTGTTGCCGTTGTGTTCTAGAATAGAAATGAGGAATGAGTAGCAGTGTAAAGTCTTTTTAGAGCCCTATATATATTATTAAAAATAATGGATTATTTTGTAGGTGGATCCCTATTTCAGTGCTGGAAGATATGCAGGCTTCATAGCATGTGTGACGTTAGACCATTCGGAAGCCGAATAAAGCACGTTAATCCTAGACTTATGAACTGCGAGATTTCGTGTGAGTGTTATGATAATATGGATGGTCATTACCATAATAATTAAATCATCTCAGTTTACGCATAAAATCTCGTGCAACCGTTTTCTATATTTAGAAATATCGCACAGACTCGTTTTCTTTTACACTTAAAATGACAAACTTAGCTAAAAGCCTTACATGTTGCGTTGCATTTAATATATGTAAAGATCAGTCGATTTTTGTATAAAGTAAAATATATATTTAATTTATTTTGCTACACAAATTTGTGTCATAGAATTTAAACCTACAAAGGTAGGTAATGGTGAAGTTTAAGCAGTGCACAGAAAAAATAACTTAGTTTTGGCTTTAATAGCTACTGCTAGGCTTAGGCTCGGCTAAAAGTACCTCTGGGAGTTTGTAACATCTGCTGATGTAGATTTGACGAAATGTAAACTGTCTTTTCCGGTTCTAAACCGGATTCCTAACTTGGCTAACATGCGCAACAGGAAACCCTCGTGGAGTCGAATACAGCAAAAAATCTCGTAGATATCTCAGGTTTATACATGGTCCAAGGTCTATACCTGGCCCAGGTTTATACATAGTCCAAGGCCTATTATACGTGGCCCAGGTTTATATATGGTCCAAGGCCTATACCTGGCCCAGGTTTATACATGGTCCAAGACCTATTATACCTGGCCCAGGTTTATACATGGTCCAAGACCTATTATACCTGGCCCAGGTTTATACATGGTCCAAGACCTATTATACCTGGCCTAGGTTTATACATGGTCCAAGACCTATTATACCTGGCCTAGGTTTATACATGGTCCAAGACCTATATGCCTGGCCCAGGTTTATACATGGTCCAAGGCCTATACCTGGCCCAGGTTTATACATGGTCCAAGGCCTATACCTGGCCCAGGATTATACATGAACCAAGACCAACTATACCTGCCCCAGGTTAATACATGGTCCAAGACCTATTATACCTGGCCCAGGTTTATACATGGTCCAAGACCTATACCTGACCCCAAATTATCAGAGAAGTATTATTTTTAGCCAAAACTGCTGGCATAATGCCCTGGAATCCAGGAGAAGGTCTGACACTGCAGGCAGACAGATTACCAGCTGACACAATTTTGCCTCTCTTTCACGCCAACACTATTCAGCTTTCGGCTCCCTCACTACGCGAACACACCGCTAACTCTACCTCATGTCGACACCTGCTATATCAACTGCTATTTTGAATGCGATCGGAGATCATTTTGTTTGTCCTAAATAGCAATATCATAAGATTGATTGCAGTAAAGAGGAGAATTTAAGGGATATTATACCTCGGTTCTCGCTACATATTGAGTTTATTTATGTTTTTGAATTTTGTTCAGAGCCAAATAATACTTGAAGGTCATTTAATAGGTTACTGACGGTCTCAGTGACCTTCAAGGCTGCCAGGAATTCAACTCATCATCAAACATAATGTAAAACGTAATAGAGAGATGACCCGGCGTGAGAAACTCGTCAATTATACACTAAATTTGATGAGTAGATAATAGAAGGGAATTATCAGGGGAGATCACCAAGCCATTACGACTATATAGCACTTGGAAGGGGTCTGGATAACAATTTGGCATGGGACGGGAGGGGGGGGAGGGAGGGTTGTTAGGAAGTGAAATTGCATTTAAAATCAGACTTTCTTTTTTGTTTTTATTTTAAGATCCCATAGTTTTTTTTTTGTTTTTTATTGTTTTTATTTATTGGGAGTTTATTAATGTTAACAAAGGATAATTACAAAAACTTGTATCTTAGGCCTATACAATGACTCGAATTAAATTTCAGTTAAGATGTGCAGTTTTATCATACAAAATACAGTTAATTAAATATTGATACACTAATTTCAGAATTATATAACATGATTGACAAATTTAAAATAGTTTATAGTTTTGTACAGTATATAAATGTATGTATGAATGTATGTATGTATGCATGTATGTAAGTATATATTATGAATGTATATTTTTGTATACTAAATTTCTGTACAAATTCACTGTTTCCCTTTAATAGTTCTCCTGACATTTGGCTCCAAATTCATAAAATTACTGATGAGCATCGTAGTTCAGTATAAGGTACGAACTAGTAATTGATGTAGAGGAGACACTGATCGTCAGTCAGGGCCCTATGTCAGCCATGTGTTGTAGAGAATGCTCTTTAACTAGGAACCTTCGTGAGCCATGTATTGTAGAGATAATGCTCTTTAACTAGGGCCCCTTGGTCAGCCATGTATTGTAAAGATGCTAGCTCTTTAACTAGGCCCCTTGGTCAGTCTTATGATGTAGAGGAGATAATGCTCTTCAGCCAGGGTCTTTAAGTCAGGGAAATATTGTAGCAGAGACAATGGTCATCACTCAAGGGCCCTTAGTTTGCCCTATGGTGTAGAGGAGAGACAGGTCGTCAGCCAGGAGCTGACCAATGTCAGTCTCGTCGTGATGTTTCGCTACCTCTCAAAGTTGATTTGATGAACACACAGAGGAGAGATTTCTGAAAGAAAGCTTTTGGTTCATACTGTGCTGCTGCTGTGTTCAGACTGATACAATGTTCACACTGTGCTGTGTTCACATTGGTACGAGGTTCACACTGTGCTGTGTTCACATTGGTACGAGGTTCACACTGTGCTGTGTTCACATTGGTACGAGGTTCACACTGTGCTGTGTTCACACTGGTACGAGGTTCACACTGTGCTGCTGTGTTCACATTGGTACGAGGTTCACACTGTGCTGTGTTCACACTTGTACAAGGATTATCATGCATCTATTGTAACAGTTATGTTCAGCTGCCAAATTGTACAGCATTTATAAGACTATATGACAGCATCGTCCACTTGGCATATATTTTCCGCTTGTTGACATGCCAACAATACTCAGTGTTGATTAAACTGTGTAAAAAGCACTATTAAACACTGAGTATTTATATCAGTTAAAAGTTAAGTAAATTATATATCTTTCAGTAACTGAAATATAAAAATATAAATATTTTCCCCGAAAAATGATTATTTTTACTTTTTATGGTTTTGTATTTTTAATAAAAAAAAAAAAGGTTGAAACTACACATTAATACTGTAAGGATTTTTCTGGGGTCCTCTTTGAAGTTTTTGCTGTTTGTGTTGGGCATCGTGCCCGAGGTGCTGCTTGTAGCGTTGCAACAAGACGGTCAGCTCTGCGGGCATGCTGTCGACCGCACTCTGCCCGCCGGAGCCACTGCATCTTCCTCCGGCGGCGGCGGCCGACGGCCCCTCGCCCACAGCACAGTCTTGTGCCATCTCTCTGTCACACTCCGCCTCCGACAGCTCCCTCGAGTCGGAGAACGCTGTGGGTGGGTGAAGAGGTCGAGGGGGAGTCAGGGGAGACGCTTCGCTCGAGGATGACTCGCTCGGCACTCTGTAGGAAAATAGGAGTTTGTTTTTTTTTAGTTGGTAATTATTTTTCTTTATTATATCCAATTAAATTAATTTTAAATTAATATCCAATTTCTCACTAATTAATGTTTACGAATAGCATTATGCAACATTCATGGAATCATCAGATGGGGTAGAAGAGGGAAATATAACTGATATATACCAATAGGTGTAAGTTAAAATATATATATAACTTGTGTGGTTAATGCTGCTATTTAAAAGGAAGCTTTCTCTTGTTTAAATATAGTTCCTTATAATATTACCTTAAAATAGTAAGCCCTTTGAGCAAATATATGCTATATTTTACACTCGTTGAACTATACATGTAAGGCAAAGACAGAGATATGTTTTAAATTTGACGCTAAAGATAAGTAACAAGTCACGTGATAATTGACGAGGTATAGAACAGGATTTAGGTCAATTTGCCTCGGGTGCCAGAGAGCAAATAGGTGACTGAACTCCACTGCGGGCTCACCATAGCCCGTGCTACTTGGAACTTTTTGTTCCAGGTTGCGAATCTTAAATAACAACACCAACACCTGAACTCCCCAGACCTATATACTACTCTATTATACATGCCCATGGACATATGTTATATTTTACATGCCCATGGACATATGTTATATTATACATGCCCATGGACATATGTTATATTTTACATGCCCATGGACATATGTTATATTTTACATGCCCATGGACATATGTTATATTTTACATGCCCATGGACATATGTTATATTTTACATGCCCATGGACATATGTTATATTTTACATGCCCCTGGACATATGTTATATTTTACATGCCCCTGGACATATGTTATATTTTACATGCCCCTGGACATATGTTATATTTTACATGCCCATGGACATATGTTATATTTTACATGCCCCTGGACATATGTTATATTTTACATGCCCATGGACATATGTTATATTTTACATGCCCATGGACATATGTTATATTTTACATGCCCATGGACATATGTTATATTTTACATGCCCATGGACATATGTTATATTTTACATGCCCATGGACATATGTTATATTTTACATGCCCATGGACATATGTTATATTTTACATGCCCATGGACATATGTTATATTTTATGATTCATGAAAACAAACTTCTTTATCACTTAAAGGCCAGAAAGATAACCGGTTAATAAATTAAAATAGGCAGAAATGCTTCACATTTTACACAGCATAAAATTTAATAGATATATATAATCAGAATACTGAGGTGCCAGATTAGAACAGTATTTCACTGAGACTATCTCCACAAGTTCAGACTGGCACGCTACACGCGAGTCACTACAGTCGACTAGAACCAACCAGTGAAGCTCGGGGTAATGATACAGACTCGCAAACATTTCCAGTAACATGTAGCAACTTTACTGATAATTAAAAACTCTGCGTTTCACTCCAACGCATCTTGAAAAAAAAGTCTTTCGAATATTTAGCCATTTAGATCATCTGACTTTGACTCTTTGCAAATAATGAATTTTAAGTGGAATAAAACTGCTTCAAAACAATGGAGCCTTGAGCTTATCAGAGCTTGTGTACTCTGAAGCTCTGATAAGCTCAAGGTTCTAGAGGAACGCCCCCGTGGCGTCCCTCTAGAGGATGGGGCATGCACTAACACGCTAACTAGAGATGAGAAGCTTTGTGTGTAGCGGGGAGAGGGGATGAGGGGCATGGTGCGAGCTGTGTCAGCCACGGTCCACCTACATAGCACAGCCTCCACTACCTGAGACTACCTGGCATGGCGAACAGGGGGCAGCGGGTGCGGCCCGACACGCACTGCTGCCTGCTGCTGCTGCTGCTGCTGCTGTGCGGCTAACTGCTGAGAGAGGTGGTGGGGCTTGGGTGGCATCTGAGGGTGCTGATAGTGCTGTCGCTGTGGCTGCTGCACGGGCGAGGAGGCATCGTTGCTCTCCGTGCTGGAGTCACGGCGCGAGGTGTCTGTTCCTGAGTGCAGAAAACAATTAGTACTCTTTACCACTCGCCGAAACCCGGAGTTAAGCATCGTAGCGACCATGATAGTCTGCATGTCACTAGAGAGTGGAGATTTCTTCAGCTGAGGTAACGACCATGTTATAGCCACATGAAACAGTTTCTAAGGCTTACCTCTTGACCGGCTCCTGGAGCGATGTGGGCGGCTGCGGGTGTCCTTCCTGGGGTCTTCGGGCCACGCCCTCTGCTCGGAGGCGTCCCCAGCAGGCGCGGGTGTGGGCGTGGGCGTGGGCTGGGCTGCGGGGAGGGACTTGGGCCGGCTCCCGTACTCTGCTCGGCTCCGGTTACTTATGTAAGCAATCTCTGTTGGTTATTTGGAGACAGGAGAATGGCGAGATCATTTTGTTGAAAGAACTTTATATTAAATATAAGTATACTTGGTGAGGTAGCCGACTGTGTCTGAGGGTATCTCCTTCTCTTCTCATCTCCCCCTCCCCCCACTGCCTCTCCCTTCTCTCTCCTCCTCTTCCCAATCCCTCCTCTCCCCCTCTCTCCCTTTTACTCGTTTCCCCTCCCCTCCGCTCCATTTTCTCTCGTATATCTCTCTTTTTTACCCTCTCTATTCCAATTTTCCCCCTCCTACCTCTTCTCCACCGCCTCCATTCTGTCCTATATTTAATCACTGCCATTCTCTACCCTTCTCTCCTTTACCCATTTCCCTCTACACTCCTCCCCCCCCCTCTCTTCTTTCCCTTCACTTCCCTCTCTCTCTCTCTCTCTCTCTCTCTCTCTCTCTCTCTCTCTCTCTCTCTCTCTCTCTCTCTCTTGCTCGCTCTTTCTCTCAGAACAACCAATACATGCCCAACAGCCCAACAAAGATAACATTGGAGTTCTGCTCTGGAGAAAACCACTGCCGTGGTCATCCACGCTTTACTAGCACTACTAGTAATATTAGTGCTACTACTACTACAAATCAGGATATTATGTGAACATCTATAAACAAGTGAAGGCCAAAGATTACCTGTCTCCTTGTAGTGTGACTGTGCCCGCTGGCGGGGGACCTGGCCGTAGGCGGGAGACTGTTGACTGTGCCGCTCACTGTGGACAGGATGGTCCAGACAGTCGCGGGGGGTCATAGCGTGTAGAGACAGACCATACTCTAATGTACCTTCCGAACTGCCCACGCTAAGTGCAAGACCAAAGGAACTCAGGAGGACGAGTACAGAGAGAGAGAGAGAGAGAGAGAGAGAGAGAGAGAGAGAGAGAGAGAGAGGAGAGGGAGGGAGGGAGGGAGGGAGGGGGGAGGGAGGGATTGGGGCAGAGACAAAGAGGTAGGAAGATAAATAGAGAGAGAAACAGAGGTAGCAACAGACACAGACACAAAGAGAGAGAGAGAGAGAGAGAGAGAGATTCACATATCAAGATTACAAAATATCAGAGTGTACAACAGAAAGGGATAGAGAGACAAAGAGAAGTGAACACACACACTCTAAGTGCAGGAGCACAGCTCGAGTCAATGACAAATATAATTCACTTACAAGAGTTGTTATGAATTTAAGTAATACAGATTTTTCACCTATCATGAAATAAAGTAAATTAAACCATGCGATTTGATGAATGATTTTTACGGGTTTCTCAGATCTTACAACCCGCCAAACACACAACGAAAGTACGACGTTGCTTCAACATTCGAACAAGTTGTAACAATTATACAACAAGTTGTAGCAACGTTCAAACAAGATGGAAACACCTTTTTTATCAAGATGAAACAACTTTTGCAACGTTTCGTTGTGTGTTTGCAGGGGAACAGCTTATACCCACCAAACACACACCGAAACTACGACGTTGGTACAACGTTCGAACAAGTTTTAACACCTAACCAGTTATAACAACCAATATAGCAGGTTGTAACAACGTTCTAATACGTCATTAACACGTTAAGCCAAGATGTAACAACTTTATTACAAGTTGTAACAAGCGGAAAATAGAGACAGTTTCGGTTTGTGTTTCCAGGGTATACGGTTTCCGAACCAGACAATTCGTAAGGTGAAAACTATTCTCTTCTGTAGAGGTGCGCCGACGACCCCCTCCAGTACCTGAAGGTGGCGTAGGGGCAGATCTCGTAGGGGTCAGAGGTGTCGTCCTGCGTCTTGAGGGAGGCCAGGGAGCCGTGGGGCTTCTTGGTGGGCGTGGGAGAGTAGAGGTGGGCGCGGGTGAGCTCGGAGTTGCGGGCATTGTCCTCCTCTCCTCCACCCTTGTTGTCCAGACTCTTGCCCGGTCTGCTGGCCAGGAATACAAAGAGTAGTTGAGAGCTGAAACGGGTGTGTTGTCCTGCTGGACAGTAGTGCTGGGACGGGAGGGTTGTCCTGCTGGACAGTAGTGCTGGGACGGGAGGGTTGTCCTGCTGGACAGTAGTGCTGGGACGGGAGGGTTGTCCTGCTGGACAGTAGTGCTGGGACGGGAGGGTTGTCCTGCTGGATAGTAATAGTGGTGGGACGGGAGGGTTGTCCTGCTGGACAGTAATAGTGGTGGGACGGGAGGGTTGTCCTGCTGGACAGTAGTGCTGGGACGGGAGGGTTGTCCTGCTGGACAGTAATAGTGGTGGGACGGGAGGGTTGTCCTGCTGGACAGTAGTGGAGGTGGGACGGGAGGGTTGTCCTGCTGGACAGTAGTGGAGGTGGGACGGGAGGGTTGTCCTGCTGGACAGTAGTGGTGGGACGGGAGGGTTGTCCTGCTGGACAGTGGAGGTGGGACGGGAGGGTTGTCCTGCTGGACAGTGGAGGTGGGACGGGAGGGTTGTCCTGCTGGACAGTGGTGCTGGGACGGGAGGGTTGTCCTGCTGGACAGTAGTGCTGGGACGGGAGGGTTGTCCTGCTGGACAGTAGTGCTGGGACGGGAGGGTTGTCCTGCTGGACAGTGGAGGTGGGACGGGAGGGTTGTCCTGCTGGACAGTGGTGCTGGGACGGGAGGGTTGTCCTGCTGGACAGTAGTGCTGGGACGGGAGGGTTGTCCTGCTGGACAGTGGAGGTGGGACGGGAGGGTTGTCCTGCTGGACAGTAGTGGTGGGACGGGAGGGTTGTCCTGCTGGACAGTAGTGGTGGGACGGGAGGGTTGTCCTGCTGGACAGTAGTGCTGGGACGGGAGGGTTGTCCTGCTGGACAGTAGTGGTGGGACGGGAGGGTTGTCCTGCTGGACAGTAGTGCTGGGACGGGAGGGTTGTCCTGCTGGACAGTAGTGGTGGGACGGGATGGTTGTCCTGCTGGACAGTAATAGTGGTGGGACGGGATGGTTGTCCTGCTGGACAGTAGTGGAGGTGGGACGGGAGGGTTGTCCTGCTGGACAGTAATAGTGGTGGGACGGGATGGTTGTCCTGCTGGACAGTAGTGCTGGGACGGGAGGGTTGTCCTGCTGGACAGTAGTGGTGGGACGGGAGGGTTGTCCTGCTGGACAGTAGTGCTGGGACGGGAGGGTTGTCCTGCTGGACAGTAGTGCTGGGACGGGAGGGTTGTCCTGCTGGACAGTAATAGTGGTGGGACGGGATGGTTGTCCTGCTGGACAGTAATAGTGGTGGGACGGGATGGTTGTCCTGCTGGACAGTAGTGGAGGTGGGACGGGATGGTTGTCCTGCTGGACAGTAGTGGAGGTGGGACGGGAGGGTTGTCCTGCTGGACAGTAGTGCTGGGACGGGTGTGTTGTCCTGCTGGACAGTAGTGCTGGGACGGGTGTGTTGTCCTGCTGGACAGTAGTGCTGGGACGGGAGGGTTGTCCTGCTGGACAGTAATAGAACTTTGATAAGAGGGACGTCGTGTTGGACAGTAGAGGGCCGATTAATAATACTCGTATGAAACTAAGAGATGCAACTGGCTAAAGAAACAGTAAGGCAACAGAATACTTTAACTGTAGATAACATAACGTAGGTGTGAGAATGAAGCCAAGAGGAATGAGGCTAATAAGGTGGAGGTGAGAGACACAAGAGATGGGGGTGGGGGGGGGATTATCTGAAGTATTAATTAAGCATCATTCGAAGGCATTGTTGAATGCTCCTTCATTGTGTTGGACAGTGTTGTAATGTGTGGTTACTAAAGACTCTGTGCACTGTTGTCTAACATTTTTTTCTTCGTTGCTGATGAGTTTTATATTGCTGAGGTTGGTGAGGTTATTATTCCGGGTTGTGGTGTGTGTTGTACCCGCTGGTGGTGTTGTGGTCACAACTCACATACTGATATTCCGATATATAATACATAACCTTTCATTGATGACGTGGTTGATGCTAGGGCTGCTTCTGACAAGGATTTTGATTGTGAAAGATGTCTTGTGTACTTTCCCCAAACCACCTGGGCTGGACGGTAGAGCGACGGTCTCGCTTCATGCAGGTCGGTGTTTAATCCCCGACCGTCCAAGTGGTCGGACACCATTCCTTTTCCCCCGTCCCATCATAAAATCCTTACCCCTGACCCCTTCCAAGTGCTATATATAGTCTAAATGGCTGGGCTCTTTCTTCTGACATTTCCCCCTTCCCTTCCCCATATTGGCAATACTGCAGATAACAGCATTAGGTGTCCTGTCGGGAGAATGAGCCATCCCACTGGTTTCTGTTTTGCATTTCCTAATGAAGGAAGCAGAGTATTTAAAATTAAGGAAGGACTCTGTAATGATACTCTTCAAGAAACATTTAGCTTTATCTCCCGAAAAAAAAAATTTCAGACCATTAATGTGTGTGTGTTGTATTTGATCAATTAATCACGATGAGAATGAAATGAGAGACTTTTTCTTTGTTAGTGTCTCACCATCTATCATAATTTGTGTTCAGAAGTTATCTTCAAGTCTGATATTAAAATGATCAAGGTCGACACGGTGTCGGGTGATGCTTATGACATCGCCATAACAAGCCCATTTCAGTGTGTTGGGGACGATGGTGGAGATACGCCATGCTTCACGGCATTCCATGAATAAATTAGCCGGCATAGCTCTAATTGGAGATCCACCATTGCCATGCAAAATTGTTCACGACAGAGATATGATACAAAGCAGAAGTAATGGCAGTGTTATGCATAGGTCGATACGATCGTTGGAGACGAAGGGAAGCCAGAGGGCAGAGGAGGGTAGTTGGTCCATTTGTGATCTCGGGGAACCGTATAACCGAAAAGCTATGCGTACTAGAGGCTTTAGGTATTATCTGTACTAGCTCTTATCTTTAAATCCATCATTATGTATGTAACTCAATGGACGTACCTTTACCTGAATAAAAAGTCTGAATCTAATAAAGAATCTGAATATGTATTTAACCGTGGCTCGAGATTACTGAATGGACAATATTATTATTATTATTTTTATTATTTTCACACATAAATCACACAAACGTGATACATGTCAAGGATAACATCATCTGGGGCTGTGATGTGGGCGAGAACCTGCGTCCAAGGCATTGTTGACCATGTTCTACCACTGTACCTCTCTCAGCTGCCCCTGGGTTCAGTGGTAATGTAGCAGGCAGTGCCTTGGTCGCAGGTTCGAGTCGCCTCACAACCCCAGTGCATTTTTCTTATTATTCTTATTATTATTACAATTATTTTAACAATAATTATCACTATTATTTAATTAATATAATTTTCTTGTTTTTCACTCAAGGAAGAGTTTGGGAGTGAGGAGGACTTACCTGTACCCACCATACCGGCGCCGCCTGACAGCGACGCAGAGGCAGATAATGAGAGCAGTAGCCAGCAGTAGGGCGCTGACGGCTCCTGCCACAACATGAGCATCCAGCCAGCCACCTGTCATAGTCGGGTTGCTCACCAGGACCTCCTGCACCGACTCCGCTGCCATCGAACCTTCAGCAACACACAAGGTAAGTTCAGTCCATCGCATCAATGGCTCTATTTTGAGTAAGTTCTTGTTTCTAATGTTATGATATTAAAGAGTGCGTTTGTAATAATGCATTGAATAGAAAACATGACAAAAACATGAAAAGTATCATGTCAGTCAGCAGTAAATAGGTACCTGGGAGTTAGTCAGCTGTCACGGGCTGCTTCCTGGGGGTGGAGGCCTGGTCGAGGACCGGGCCGCGGGGACACTAAAGCCCCGAAATCATCTCTCAAGATATCTCTCAAGATATCTCAAGTCAATGAGGTGTAAAATAATATTGATATTATCTGAGAAATGCAGATATATAGCTGGCCATTGAGTCAAGGTCATAGAACACGAACCAATGACAGCAAATACAAAAATATTAAATGCGTAGACGAAGCGTAATATTAAAAAAAAAAAACATATTACGTTTAAAAAATAAACTTGACATTAGGTTGGTGCGCATAGGAACACTAAATAGACTCGTGACGAAAAAAAACCATGTATGGCCTCATAAACAAGCTGGATAAACAGTTTATCTGTTATTGTACGATCCAGGACGAAATAAGTACTTCCAAATCCCCTACAGGAGTCACCTTGGGAGCCGACCTCGCGATATTTGAGGGATTTTCACAAACTTACCAACACTCAGAAACCTTTTTTGAGGTTTCCTGACGAGATTTTCCTCAGCAAGCAGATTATTCCTACCCAGGTTTTTCTCCTGCATTTTGTGTGTGTATGTATGTATGTATGTGTGTGTGTGTGCATATATAATATATATATATATATATATATATATATATATATATATATATATATATATATATATATATATATATATATATATATATATATATAAATATATATATATATATATTATATATATATTATATATATATTTATTATATATATATTATATAATATAATATTATATATAATATCGATTGTCCTGCTTTTTTGTTGAGATATTCTCTGTTTCATCTTAATGTTTTTAAAACTTTTGGAAAATAGTTTAACCCGCACTCTCTGCCAATGTTTCCAAACCTAGTCTTTTGCTTCTTATATACGTGTATTTTCCCACATTTAAAGCATGTTAAAATCACCTATGGCACGCTTTATTTTTGGCTATTTAAGTAGCTTTGTGGAATATCTTTATGAAGATCTATGCAATAATGTATTTAAAATTGTGCTGCATTTAAATAATTTAATGCGTTTAATAGGCAAATCCTGGTTATCATTGGCATTTATCATAGACACTTTTTGTAATGTCTGAAATAGTATGTGGTCCAAAATGATCGTACACAACCTGATTGACCTCGACCTTTTAATTACTAAGCACTACCTGACCTCTACTGTGGCTCTATATGACCATATACTTCCTGACCTCAATTGTGGTCCTTAATGAGCATCCACTACCCAATTGACCTGTACTGTCCTCCTTAATGACCCACTGAACTGTTGCCCACTACCCTTGTTAATGACCATAAACTACCTGACTGGCCTCTTCTAAAATTCTTAATGATCATTCACTACTTGAATAACCTCTACTGTGGACCCAGCCCGTTTAACGTTCCCCAACGTTAAGAAAACGGTCAATTTAAGGTGTCCTCTCCTAACCTACCAGAGGACCCAAAACAGAAAACGAGACAGTACGTCACTTTCGCGAGCCGCTTCCATTTTCTAGTACGATAATTTTTTGGCCTTAGATAACGCATACGAGCGAAAACCGACGTCTAGTGTAGATGGATTGGTTGGTTTCCAGCCATCTCCTCTCGTAGTCGCTATCGTCTTTTTTAACATACTGCTCGCTCATTTGTGAAGACCTGCCAAATGCTTCACAGCTTCACACACTTGTGAAGACCACCATGACCCTAGTGTGACCCCGGTACTGACCTCCAGCGGGGTCCCTGGTGGCGACACGGTACACTACAGATGTGTCTCCCGCAGTGGACGCTGCAGTGATCCGCAGAAGGTGCCAGGTAGCCGACGTCAGGTCACACAGGCCCAGGTCGTTGGTATCCCGGTTCACATGAGTATACAGGGGCTTCCAGGGTACCTCCGCCTCCTCGTTACCAAGCTCAACCTAGAAACCGCCCTCAAAACAATTATCTGCCTAACATTTTGTATTGGTGGTTAGTATAATGTTCTGATATATATATGACTTGATAACTATTCCGGATGGATCGATATTTCCTCAGTTTCATTGTATTTCAAGTCTTTGGGTTATTTCGTAACACATTATTGTGGTGTAGGGGAGTGTGGTGGAGCACAGTGTAACTGTGGTGAAGGAGTGTGGTGGAGCACAGTGTAACTGTGGCGTAGGAGTGTGTGATAGAGCACACGGTGGAAAGGAGCCAAAGGAGTGAGCCACTCCTCTGGCTCACTCCTTTGGTGAGCCAGAGGAGTGTCCCTGCATGACATGCAAGGTAGGCTGAGCCAGAGAAGTATGTCCAGTAATTATATTCCTGCCAGAGTGCAGGAGAGGAGAGGGCCCTGCACCTTACCTTCCAGTGGGTGATGGGGCAGCCCAGCTCCGGCCAGATATAGAGGCGTAGCGTGACACAGGTAGCGTTGATCTCCACTACCTTAGCAGGATCAGGGCGGCCCGGGGCTGCAAGGACAACACTTGCAAATAATTACACTGAAAATAATCCCCCTTTACCCAATGATTATTATTAATGTAGATATAAATAACTATAACAATAAAATCATTTGCATCATTTTGCTTGTACTGAAAAAGGTATTGCTTGAGACACAATCAAAAGTAAATGGACTGAACATTTATTCGTATGTTCACTGAGGGTGTTGTGACAGTGGGTCAACGAGTTGGGTAGTCTACTGGTTGTGTAACTAGGCTACCACAAACTGTTTATTTACGCAGTGTTCTATTTACGTGTAATACACGGTCTTGGTGTTCGTTATGTATATATGGGAACTTCTTGCTATGTACATCAACGTTCTATTGCATCATGTGTAGGCATAGGCGATGAGTATTGTGTACATCGAGGCATTGTTTGTTTAGCATATCACTGCTATGATGCTTCCCATGTGTGCGTATGAATGCTTGTGAATAATTACCACACTGTGCTTTCAGGGGGTTACATTTCAGCTTTTGGAATCTACATGTTAACCTCGACTGACTGGTCTAGTTACAAACTCCATCACAGAGCTTCTAAACTTCTAGAGCTTTAGAAGTGTACCGGCTTCTAAACCTATATGTTGACCAGACCACACACTAGAAGGTAAAGGGACGACGACGGTTCGGTCCGTCCTGGACCATTCTCAAGTCGATTGTGATTCTAAACCTATATGTTTGGCGAGCCGCCGCTATCTAGTTCGTGCCATGTATTCACTACATTCTCTCGGTGAAGAAAATACTTGTGTGCTTATGCCTCATCTGTGCGATCATGTCCTGGACTCTTCCATGTCAAGCAGTCTAAGAACTTCGGTTCTTAAGCTCGGTCTATACAACATTTAGTAAGTGAATGCAATGACGCTATGCAGTCCTTTGTGTATAAATAGGATTGTTGGTCAGTAAGTTGCAGAGACCTCTGTAGATACACTTCAGGTGGTCAATGTCATGTTATCAGTGGACCCTGAAGAGAACTGGTAAAAAAGTTGAGATCGTCAGTAATCAAGAATCAAGAACACCAGTCAGAATGATTGTAAGAACATAGAGGACTTAATTGGTGGACTCAAACTGTGCTAGAATAATTGACAGCACGCCTCCACTTGGCCAATTTTGACAGTAATGTGACGTGTTGAACTTTGCGGCAGATGATCAGGATTATTGTTTTTTGTTTTTTTTTTTGTTTTTTTTATTAAGTTATGAGGTACATCTGCATTAGTGCAGCTACCCTAGACTATATGAAGTGGAGTACAGTGTGTCAAAAAAGCTAACTAGGTGATGCTAAAAAATCCCCATCATACAGGATGGTTAGTCATACAGAGACATGTGATAAGCGGTCTGCACTGGCAGACTCCGGATGCATTTTGAGGATATCAACAACACAAGATTGAATAAGGTAGCAGTGGTAATACAAGTCCCCATCTCGCAGGATGGTTAGTCATACAGAGCCATGTGTTTAATAGCCTGCACTGGCAAATTTTGGGTATACTGTGAGGATATCTTCAAGAATACGAGAGTGAATAAAGTAATTGCAAAGCTCCAGGTACCTCATGCCAACTGGTCTGAAAGGTCTAATAACTGGGCATTCAGTGATGTAGTGCGGGAGATCATGCCGTAGTTCCTGCTCACAGAGTTTGCAACTGGAGTGCTCAGGATTGGGAGACCCGTCACCTGCAGCCACCTGCCACAGGTAACGGTAACCCAACCTGATCCTTGCAACCACTGTGTCGCACAGTCTAGTGGACGTTTTGTGCTGTCCATAGATGTAGGTTTCAGATCTGAACAAATCATAGCTTTTTATACTAGTACTTTCAGGTCGTTGGGAGTCAGTAAGTTCTTTCCTATCAGATCTGAATGTTTGGACCAATACAGTTTTGACAGCAGAGATGGGGATACCTAGATCTATTTCAACTTCAAACTTGTTACACGCTAATTTGGCTGCAATGTCTGTCTCATTATGATGGGTTATATTTATGTGTGAAGGTATCCATACAAAGTAGATTCGAGACCCTTTACTCTGTGAAAAAAAATTGTTTTTTGTAATAATGGATAACACAAATAACTCTACGGTAACGTCAATCCATATTTCACTATCTATAAGGTAGTGGGTCCTGTTTGAGTAGTGATCCTAGCAAGGAGACGTTGTTATAGCATCAGGGCATCCATAAAATTAATAGTAGGGAGTCGGGGGAATATGAATTAGTGTAGACGTGATACTAATTGTCCTATGTCAGAGCTGGTGAGGAGTAAGAGGCGTTCAGGAAGGGGGATAGACAGGATCGTGACGACGGTTGGGTGCGACGGTGATGTTATATATTACTTAAGTGCTTTATGGAAAGCCTCAAGTAGCCAGAGTATGAAGAGTACTTTGCACTATTTACTTGTGTGCTGAGAGACGCACATATATTACATTACATAAAGTGTCTAAAGACATTTTAGTTACGTGAAGTAAAGTGACAGTGTCAGACCACGGAGGAAGAACTGAAACAGGCATTTTCTTAGGTATTTTCGTATATTAATACCTCTTCAGAAGGAATGAATGAATTAATACATGTTCATTCCTTCTGAAGATGTATTAATATACGAAAGTACTTAAGGAAATTCCTGTTTCAATTCTTCCTCCGTGGTCTGACACTGTCACATTTTTCATCACATGTTAATTTTCGTGATTTGCACACATGAAGTCAAGTATAATTATTTAGATGTGAGGCGAGAGGTGTAACTACCTCATTAATGGGTAACTCGTAGTAATAAAATTTAGTGACCATCACCATGTCAGTCTATGAGTTGACTGTTAGTATAGCTGGGAACTGTGTACCAGTTTGTCCAGGGCGTGCAGGCCTTGGTAAGGGTCCTCGAGGCACCTCAGGTTGGTTGGCGAGGGTTTAATATTATACAATGGGGAGCACAACTTTTAATGTGTTTATCCCTATTAGTGTGGCTGTAAGAACGTATGATAAAAAGATTTTAGCTTGTGATACGTAGGCTACAATAATAAATTTGTTTGCATTGAACGAGTTGTACTCTAAGGTAGTGTAACTCTAACAAAGAACATTGGGGCCCTGTAGCGGAGTGGTCAGCGCTCGGGATTCGTAGTCCTAGGGACTGGGGATTGATCCCCGGCGCTGGTGGAAACAAATGGGCAGAGTTTCTTTCACCTTGATGCCCCTGTTCCCCCTAGCAGTAAATAGGTACCTTGGAATTAGACAGCTGCTACGGGCTGCTTCCTGAAGGTTGGTGTGAGGGAAAAAAATAATTTGAGTGATTAACCATTGAGAGGTGGGCCCAAAGAGCCAGAGCTCAACCCCCACAATCACAACTAGATGAGTACAACTAGGTGAATACTGGAACAGAAGAGGGCACTCACGGCTGCCAAGAGTGTTAGCGAGGAGCACAGGGCTGGGGGCGCTGGTGCCGTAGGTGTTCCAGGCTGTGAGGTAGAGGTGGTGAGGAGCTCCGCACGGCAGCCCCCGCACCACCAGGCTCCTCACCCCGGGGTCCACGCCCGTCTCCGCCCACTCCCCGGCCCGCTGGCGGTGGTGGACGGTGTAACCTGCGACCAAGACACCACCAGGGTAATACAGGACAATGTATTCATGGGCAATACATTCATTAATATAATATATACAACATGTAAAGAGAAGCGTTACATTTATGCGCGTTTAGACGAGGTGACAAGATAACTGGCAATACTTCAATTTCTCAATAGATATGAAGATGGAATCAATATATTGTAGCATTATGAAAATATAATTAAAATTATTAAAGTAACTCCTCCGCAAATAAGCAGTGAAAGCAACGAAAACGGATCAGTTTCACTTAGATTATTTTCAGTCATATTCGTTCAGATAAACATTCTGGCATTTATATTTTGTAAAAATTGCTTTATCCTCCCTACTTTCTCCTGATTACTCGCCCATTATCCGTCTCGACCACAAGAAGCGTACGATGAAAACCTTCATACAGTCAACACTGGCGGAGCGAGGTGACTGCTTTTCATTTTATTCAATTGAGCTTCATGCCATTACGCTGTTATAATAACATTAAATATCGGACTGGGGATCACTCATTAGCCTGTCGGGTCCAACCACTTGGGCTGGACGGTAGAGCGATGGTCTCGCTTCATGCAGGTCGGCGTTCAATCTCCGACCGTCCAAGTGGTTGGGCACCATTCCTTTCCCCTCCATCCCATCTCAAATCCTTATCCTGAACCCTTCCAAGTGCTATATAGTCGTAATGGCAAGCACTTTCCCCTGACAATTCCCTCCCTTCCCTCATTAGCCTGTCAAGGGTACTCACCAAGAATGGGCGCCCCTCCGTCACCAGCCTGGTTGATGGTGAGGTTGAGGGCGTAGTGGGTGGCGTGGGTGAAGGTGAGTGTGGGCGGCGGGGGCGCGGTGACGGCCACCACCTGGTGTGTCAGACTGTCCACGCCCACACTGTTGCGGACCCAGCACGTGTAGTTGGCAGACTCCCGCACCGCTGTTGGACATAACAGCACTTATAGACAAGAGCCTCGTGTTTCTCATTCGGCCAACAAATAATACCTACGGGCTCACCATAGCCCGTGCTACTTGGAACTGCTTGTTCCAAGTAGCGAATCTTTAACAACAACAACATTCGGCCAACGGTTCTGATTGAACACCATCTTAAAGGATTCTATATTACCGCATCTGACTCGAACACCCATCAGGAGCCTCGTGGCCTTCCCTGATTCTCATAACATGGATATAACTACAAGGTTAAGCAGGCAGGTCTTCTTGCAATAAAGCAAGGCAGATAAATGATGTGTTTGAATGTGTCAATGATTATACCTAAGTTATTACACAGAGCTTTAACTGGGATTAACAATAACACAATAGGAACAACTGTCGCATGTTCATGTCTCACCAGGTAATTCGTACCTGGGGAGCTGGACCATCTAGCTAGACCACTCTGGAAAATAATATTCCACATCCTTGTCGAGGAAAAGACACGGCACCTCCACCAGCATATGTTATGGTTCGTTGTTAAATAATGCAAATTATATTACTATGGTACAACAGATTATAATTTCTATGATGAGTACTGAAGGTGAAGTTACTATGGTATTTACTGCAGACTATATATCTCTGGTAACTGCTGAAGATGACGTGTTCTGCGTGCGTGTGGACACAAGCTTGAGGGGGAACTCACCTGTGAGGTGCAGGTCTCCTCCTGGAAGGAGCTGGGTGTGGTGGGTGCTGCCGAGGGTGACACTATCCTTCATCCAGGAGATGACTGGAGGCGGTGACCCGAGGCCTCTGCACCCCAGGGTCACTCCTGAACCTGACCCCACCCACCATGACCGCCCACCACCCACAGCAACGGGAGTGTGTGTGGGTGTAGGGGTGGGCAGGGCGGTGAGCCTTGGGGATTGGCTGCCCTCCCCGGCCACTGTAGTAGCAGTTACCCACACCTGGTGGGGCGGGGGACTAGACTTAGCTTAAATCCTTAGAGAAAAAATAATAAATATTCTTAGTTGATAACCTCGGCTAAATCTTGTAACAAATCAACCTAATTTAAATAACCTGAAATAGGTGGAAATCAGTCCGTCTCCCATGATCAAAGGCTCACTTGTTTATTTTTTTTTTTTTTCCAGCAAACTTTGCAAACGTAGTCCAAATGCTTACATTAATCCTAGCTGCAACACCAGTTAAGATGGACTAAGTGTTCCCATTTCTTCATAACAATTCAAGATCACTTCTTTAAATGTAATACGAGTTTCTTTATATAAAAACCAACAGACATGTTTTCCTCGGTTAATAATTCTTAATATGCATGAAGGCAGAAATTTAACACATAAGATTGAACAATAGCATGTTTCAAGTATCAAAGCTACGATTATCTGAAGACAAATCTGTATCATGATGAACATAACGTAATTACATCAAATATAAGCCAAATATTTGTTAATTTATAGGATTTGTTGCTTATGAAGAAGGTCTCGATAGGATGGTTATCTTCTTCCGTGGCCCTATAATTATCTGCACCCAACACTAGATTACTTTGACGGTGAAATCCCGAGAACATAGTGTATCTGATAGCTTGAAATGATTAGGTTGTCCCTCTAATATCTTGCACGTTGAATCATAAATAGATCTTGCACTCACCTGCACCCTGGAGGCAGGAATGAGGCCGCTTAGTTCCCGCCAGGTGGCCTCTGATCCACCTGCACCCACCACATCTCTCACCGCCACCTGCAATGCACCATCTGTATTACACCTACACTACCCCATACACCACCTATGTCGTCACTTCTATACCCAAACACTACCAATATCACTTCTTTTCTAACCATTAAGAGCAGTATTTCTTATGGCCATTAGCATTACCTTCCGTGATATGCAAGATATAAACTAGTCGAACATTTGATGAGTAGAGTCTTAACTTTCCCAAAATCCCTGCAGATTCAGGGGACGATAAATCTTATCTTACAAACGTTATTGATTTCTATCACCGTCACGGAGATCAGAAAAGTTAGAACAAGATCAGTAATCTTTCTGCAAAGTAGACCTGCCATAAATTGCACACAAATTGTCGAAACAGGCAAGAGGGAGACGGACAGCAGTGCCGCAGAGTATGAGGGGGTAGAGTAGTGCTATAAATCTCATAGTCGTGCTATGAGATTTATCAAGACTCATCTTTATGAAGGGTCTCATAGAATGTAGAGACTTCTTCCTTTTAACGTTGGCTGATGATGCATATATTAGTATAAATTTGGTGATTAAGATTGCAGCCCACTTTAAGATGGTCTTGCCAACCTCAGTATTCTCCAACTTGTTTGCGTTTAACTCAAGTAAGTGCATGGTAACAAAATAAAGTGCTGGGAACTGGATACCGGAGACAAAGTACCAAAATGGGAGAGGAAATTATCCGGGAATTGGAAAAAACGTGAATTGGGAATTGGTATCTTAATGAATCTATCTCCTGATGCACACATCAGACGGATGTCAGCGGCTGTATTGAGCAATCAGAATTAGGAGTTTATGACCTTTTTTTTCCTCTTGTCAGAAGAATCCTGCAATATGCAAATGAGCTAGATATTAAATATAATTTATTAGTGTCAAAGTAATGAAAAAGTAAATAATATCAGATGCTCAGGAATCGGCTTCAACTGTAAATATGATATGTAGATATTAGTATAATAGGCTCAGGAATCTCTTGCACCCGTCGATTGAGGATTGAGAGGCAGAACCCAAGTATTAAAGCCCTTTGTAAGTTAACCAGGCGAGCCACTATGTGACTTATAATGATGGTGTAGGCACTCTTCTGGCACTCACCTGGTCGTCCCTGGCCGAGTAAAGAGTGTAGTGAAGAATAGTGCCGGCCCGTGGGTATGGTGGCGACCACGTCACCAGCAGTGTGGTGCCGCCTGTCACTATCACCCTCACCCTCCGAGGTGGACCTGGCACTGTGAGAGCAGGGCGGGAGAGGTTAAGCTGTGTTACAAGCTAAGTCATACTCTCTCCGTACGCAATTTCGAAGCTAAAACACTAATAGTTATATCAACACACTAATAACAATGATAGCTCATACTTTCATTTGCGTGCGGTTTGTGCTGTAGGTCATGTAGACGGAACAGAACACAACTATTAGGGGAAAGCGCCAAGCCATTACAACTATATAGCACTTGGAAGGGGTCAGGATAAGGATTTGGGATGGGACGGAGGGGAAGGAATGGTGCCCAACCACTTGGACGGTCGGGGATTGAACGCCGACCTGCATGAAGCGAAACCGTCGCTCTATCGTCCAGCCCAAGTGGTTGGACTCATGAACAAATTCACAAGGGCCGTGATGGTTCGAATCTACGTCCGAACTCCCAGTTGCAATTCTTTTACCATGCCGTAGCTTAGTCGATTAAGGCTCATGTGGGATCCTCTCGGACGTAGGTTTGAACCCTCATTACGGCCCTTGTGGATTAGTTCATTTGATGCATCACTTTATTGTGATTTCTGTGTGTAATGGACTAATGAAGACAGAGAATATCAATGTGAATGTTTACCGTCATCTTCCGTGACACAGAAGACTGGGTCGTTAGAGGGACTGAAGCCGACCTCGTTAAACGCTCTGACGCGGACGCTGACGTTAGTGGCCGGCGGGAGACCGTCCAAGTTCTTCTCCAGGTTGGTGGTGTTGACCTCCCAGGTGCTGCCTGTAGGAGGGAGCACCAGAATTGACCAGCTGTGACCAGCCACGTTGAGTTGTGAGAGGACATTGTAAACTTTATATAAATCATGAGAATGTAAAGCAGCAATCAGCTTAAATTATTGGAAAAGTTTGGAAAGTAACACGACGATAGACAACCAGACACTTATGGTGTGTTAACAAACTTGGTGTGTGGAAACTCGTAACGTAGCGTGTGTTATATATGCAGCATAGTTAATGTAATGAGGAGAAAGTAGTGTGTTAACTGTATGGCAGTTCAGAATGAGGGGACGGATGCATTCTTCAGCCTTGTCTGCCTGTTGGTGGGCTCGTCTGACTCACCGCTTGTAGTGTGATGGGCGTGCTTGGTGGGCGTGGCGACGATGGTGTAGCCGCTGACCGGGGCAGGGACGCAGTGTGTGGGCGGGGGGGACCACCACACCCTCACGCTGCCTCGACCTGACCCGCGACACGACACTCCGGCAGGAGGGCACGAAGGTGCTGCAGGAGGACGGAGTAGAATGGTCAGTCTTACCACCACACCCGTACGGGCGCTCATCTGAAACCTGCCTTAAACTACAGGCCCGTAGAAGAAAGCAGGATAAGATATAGTTTTGTATACCTTCCTCGACCCCCTTAGCTAACTAACCCGTCCCACCTTCCCGCGCCCCCGTTCCCAACCCGCGCCACACACACACACACACACACACACACACACACACACACACACACACACACACACACCAGAGCTTACCGTCGTGGCTGGTGGCATCGACAATCCTGGGAGAGGAGAGAGGTCCGGGCCCCGCCCTCGTGAAGGCCCTCACAGCCACCTCGTAGAGGGAGGCGGGAGTGAGGTCCCGCACCTCATACTGCTCCACACCCTCAACGTCGCCTGCAGCAGGTAGCCCGGAAACATATTTTGTAACTTAATCTGAACATATATGTATTTATGCATATATCTAGGCCTTGCAAACATGTGCAACAATGCACAAGAGAAAAAAGATTGTTTCATTATAATTGTGATAATCACTTCCATGATCAATATTTATTTATAATGATATATATCTGCTTGCATGAAATAACTTCAATATAAGTACATCGAAGGCACAATGAAATCAAATCACATATTCAGGAACATTAAATACATCAACAAAATGAACTTGAAAAATACATCACAATGTCTGCTCTGCGAGAAGCCACTGGATATTGGCGCCGGTCGCATACAACAGTGGGCCACTCACCTGCAGGTGCCGTGACTGGCCTGGTGATGTAGGTGAGGTGCCCCTGCAGGTTCTGGCGACGCAGGGCGATGGAGTAGCCCCTGAGGGGACCGTGGGTGAGGTGGGGCACCGGGGCACGCCATGTTACCAGCAGAGAATGTGGGCCTCCTGCCGCCACCCGCACGTCCCGGGGCGCTCCTGTCGGTGCTGTGGACATTCAAGTGTCACTTGTTGTGTCATCGTAACACTCGAGCGCTACTTACTGTATCACGTGAATGTCACAAGTTGATGTCGTGTATAGAGGAATCATAAATTATGGATGAATGTAAACAGCATAGAGAATGGAGGACGGAGATAAACGTCCTGTGAAATAAATAAGGATAAAATAACTGTCTGGAAGAATTGAGAAAATCTGAGAGGCCGAAGGAGAGTCGGGGATCAGTCCTCACAAGCGGAATTGGGTGGACAGAACTCAGGAGAGAAGAGAGGGCGGCGAGAATATGGGATTCCAAGGGAAGAGAGACAGCTGAGAAAGCGGATAATGGAGACAAACTGTGGAAGACAATAAGGCAGACAACCTGGTGGATTAAGAGTTTAGGTGAGAGGGAGCAGCAGGGGAACTGACCTTCCTCGAGGGTGGTGAAAATGTGAGTCTGCGAGGGCTGCGACACGCCCAGGTCGTTGTGTGCCATCAGCCTGACGGCGTAGGTGTGGTAGGGAGTGAGGCCCGTCAGCACGTGCCATGACGCCCACTGACCCACGCTCACGTTACGCCCATGGGACACCCATGACTCGCCCTCAGCCGCTGCAGGGGGCCCATAACGTCATCAGTGGCACGGAAACAAAAAATTCAGCAGAGGATGAGAACTAATATAGACATTTCCAGCTAGTTTATAAAATATACCCAATGAATTACCACAACGACACAGAAGACCTGCAGGTCACCAAAAGTAATGCATAGCGAGCCATCATCTCGTGTAAGGATTGTGAATATGTTAGACTCTGGTCTCTTGACGCTAAGCTATCTTGAGATGATTTTGGGGCTTCTTTTTAATGTTCCCGCGGCCCGGTCTTCGACCAGGCCTCCACCCCAGGAAGCAGCCTGTGACAGCTGACTAACTCCCAGGTACCTATTTACAGCTAGGTAAAAGCGAGCTGGTGCCAACTAGCTCACAACGGGGGGATGGGCCACTACTCTTCCCATGACAATCTACACCGCATCTTGAAGCTTTTTTAAAACTAGTTTACATATACAAAAGCACGTTTAATCACAGCCTAGGAAACTTACTAAAGTTCAACACTCAAGATAAATGCCACTTAAGGTGGGACTGAGAAGGACACATGGAAGAGATGAGACAGAAGAACACATGGGAAGGTAGGACAAAGAAGAACACGTGGGAGAGGAAGGACTACCTCTGTACTGTATGGTGATGGCTGCAGGTTGAGGCAGTATCCAGGTGAGACGAGCCGAGCGGCTGCCCACCTCAGACACCGTCACTCCTGTAGGTGCCGTGGGCGGCTCTGGGGGAGAGAGAGAGAACTGAAGCTGTGTATATCACACATTATAATCAGTAGTGTTTAATGTAATTTGTATAATGTTTCTTGAGTATATCGTTATCATTACTACACACACGAATCACAATAACGTGATATATCAAATGAACAAATCCACAAAGGCCTTGATGAGAGCCTGTGCACTGGATGTTCCCATACGCGCTCTAATCAACTTTACCAAAACATGGTAAAAATAATTGTAACCTGGAGTATTACTGCTTCCACGAGCATGGGGTAATTGTGGGAAGCCTCGGGGTCCTCATGGGAGCAGTAGCACTCCAGATTGCAATTTTTGTTTTATCATGTTGTGATACAGTTGACGAGTGCGCGTCTGGAAGCATCCAATGCATAAGTTCGAACCCTCATCAAGGCCCTTGCGGATCTGTTCATTATCATGCCTGTTATTAATTTGTCTGTTATTTATGTTTATTGTCTCAAGAACCCGCCCAAATCGCTATGTGTGGGGAATTTTGCCCAGCAGGAGTTTGTGAACTGTCAAATTACTAGTAGAAATCTTCTTTAAAATGAATTGAAGTGGACTGTATGATGCAAATGGACTGTTTTTATTGATTAGTCCTACTGGGTGTTATCCTATATGTTTTTATTGATTAGTCCTACTGGGTGTTATCCTATATGTTTTTATTGATTACTCCTACTGGGAGTTATCTGTACATATAGAGACGTTTGATTTACTGTTTATCTAGGTAAATTAACTATTAATAAATACCTTTTTGTCTTATTTACTCTTTACACTGAAAATTTGATGTTACTACAAGAGAGAGATTATACATATAGTGGATTTTCCATACGTGGCAACATCTCGTTCTCTTTCTAGAATGCTATCAAATCCGTTCTCTTTGATGACTTAGTAATATTAGTATGTACCTAACTTTTAACTTGGTATGTCAAGGGATAGTAGATAGTGTCGAAATTTCTGACACTGTGGGTGTTAGTGGCTTTGAAAGAAAGTGCTGCTTAATCACCGCTTTGTGTTCTTGCAATCATTTGTACCTTCTTGTATATAAATAAATATAAATATTTATTTACAGCAGTCTCCGTTGCGCAGTGGTAAGAAACTCGCCAGACGCTTCGCGAGCGATTTAGCCTGGGTTCGTATCCAGGCCGGGTAGGATTGACTAGGCGCCAATCCTTAACTGCACGCCTCTCTTCACCCAGCAGTGAATGGTTACCTGGCATTATAATAATGTTCATATAGCGAAAATTACATTCTTACAAAAAGGAGTTAAGATTAAGGACCTGCCCGAAATCCTATACGTGCTAGTGGTTTTATAAAAATGTAAGAACTCTTGTATTTATAAATTATATACAAAAGCTGCATGAACGTGCAAGCCATAGATCACTAAGAACTCTGTATCCTTAACTGTAGCCTCTGTTTAACCCAATAGTAAAATGGGCACCTGCTTGTTAAACGATTCTTCGCGGGGGTCGTATTCTGGGGAACATAGGATTAAGGTCTTGCCCGAAACGCTACGCATACTAGTGGCAGTAAAAGAATGTAAAATCATCATCATTACTATGTATTCTTAAACCCAATGTACCTTCTTGTATATAAATAAATAAATAAATAAATAAGTGAATTACACTATTAGACGAATAATATTAGTATCCCCTAACATAACTTTCTTTATATTATGACAATTTTCTTTTAGTATTTTAAGGATGACTATTTTACAATGAATATTTTTTTCTCTTGTAGATTAATCGTTAGAAATATGCAGTATACAATTTGATGATATTACTCATTGATAACGCTTTTCAAATATTGTTAGGATAACTAACCTGGGCTCAAACACCTGCTAAAGGTGGGCACAAACCTGTACTCGGCTAAAACAGCTGCCATGTGCTGTAGCAGTGGTCACCTACACCCGCCATTTAGAACCTAAACAGTACTCACCTATAACGGCGATATCGAACACTTGGAAATGCTCGCCGTGGGAATTGATGGCGCGACATGTGTACGGACCAGCGTCGGCGGCGGCCACCGCCCTGATCTCCAGCACGGCCCTCACCGTCCCGCCCATACCACCCTGTCGCACCGTCGTCCTGTCGGGAAGAAAGAGAGAGACCAGTCAGTGACCGGAGTCCTGGTTAACTAAACATCTGCCAGGTGATGCTCCTACCACAACTACATCAGCTTTGTTAATGGGAAGATCTATCGCTAATCCAAGTGACACGGAGTAGTAGGGGGAGACTCGCTTGTGCCTTAATGATACGAGAGGAAGGGGTGACTTAGTTACAGATGGCGGACACTTTGTCCGCCATCTGATAGATGCCCGGTTGATTAGAACGTACCTGGTGAGACGAAGCCGAGATCCATCTGAAGAACGTACCTGTGGCCTTGTGAGACGGGGGCGTGATGTCGGTGCCAGGTAAGTGTGAGTGGGTCGTCACCTGTCGCCTCGCAATCCACCATGACCGTCTGGCCAGCGTGACCCGTCACTCGCCTGCCCTCCGTCACCACGCGTGCCGGCGCTGACAGACAAGAGGGGGAGTGTGAGGAGATCCCATCCGGAATGACTTGGCTTGTGACAGCTATACTATGTGTGAAATTATTATTTTTTTTTATCTTCCTTGTGAACTGAAAGGCCATCGTATACTGACATAATTAATGTCACTATTTCCGCTATTCATAGTGACGCAGCTGAAATTGTTGTGGTACGTCCAGGAACTGGGCCATAACGCTATGTTATCTAAGAAAGTTTGTGGTAAAGATCTTTTTTCTAAATTCAAAGTTCGTTTAGTCAGCTTAAATTTTAAGCAAGTTGTTGTTTTAGATTCAGCTACTTGGAACAAAAAGTTCCAAGTAGCACCGGCTATGGTGAGCCCGTAGTGGAATTATCTGGCACAGGAGCGGGGCTGTAACTGCTAAACAAGTTTTCATTATGGATAAAATGTTTTATACATCTGAGTATTTGCGAGAGTATGGCCCTTAAATTCTTGGGTTACCTAACTTAAGTACCTAATGGAACTAGAAATAGAATAATTCTGCTTACAATTCGTTAAGATTACATGTGTGAGGTGAAAATCTCTCTAAACATATTTTGCCTACTCGAAGCCGCTCAGTAGACACTCTTGAGAGAGTCGATTGTGATGAAGACAATAAAGACACGGAGCTTCTGTTATAAGACGGTTCATAGCGACAAGAATTTATCTGTTTCTGAAGTTTGAAGTTCTAACGGCAAGCCAGAGATATGATTGGCTAATTAAGATCATTTTGTTCTAATTAACTTATCCGTTATATTGTGTATCCGAGGGCCCAGAAGACACGAGTTCCCACCAAATGGTCAGAGTCCGTAATTAATAATTTTGATAATTTGTCTGTTCCATAGTCTGGCTAATATCAGTCAAATTAAGATATGGTTTAAAATCCTTTTGATTAAGGTGTATGAATGTATATTTAAATTGATTGTCATGGTTCATGCCCCTTATGGCTGTGTAGGCGTCGGGAGCCATCGATGTGAATAGTTCCGTCAACACATCTTCGTAATAAATCAGGACATGTGGACAAAATAGAGAGCTTTGCACTTAAAATTGGCTAAAATTGGTTAATTTTAATTTACTGAAAAAAAAGGAAAATGCAGGGAAAGAAATACAAACCCCATAACAAAAACCACCCATCGCCTATTTTTAACATAAAGTAGGGATAACTTAAACCATCCTTTACCTTAAAAAGGTGTAAATATGCACTATATTATACTTAAAATATAGTTGATAAGGTCTAGAAAAAGTTCGACTGTTGTTGATATCGTTTCGTCTCGGCCAGAGATAACTACTCCTGACCAGACATGATCTATGCAGGTGTTATATGACCTGAAATGACCAGACAGTCAACTCTGATTTGAATTAACCTACTCTGATCAACCACAGTATTCCACAATGTTCCAGAATCTACAATTCATCAATCTGTTGTAGCTAGACACGACACAGCCTAATCAGCAACGGCTTAAGAAACAAAAAGCCATGGCTACTTTGTCTGCCACAGCCTTGCAACTCACACTTTAGTAACTTAACAACTGCTACACTTTTACTATACTAACAACTGCTACACTGTTACAACTCGTCTTAACTCCTCACTCACCATGAACGGTGAGCTGGACGACCTTGGAGATGGGCTTGCCGACAGTGTTGGCGGCGCTACAGAGGAACCAGCCGGCGCTGCTGGTGGAAACGTCGGGCAGGACAAGGGAGCCATTAGGCGCCTGCGAGGCCCTCCTGCCGTCCAGCCCTACCGCCTGGAAGTCCTTCGCCGCCTCCCCTGAAACACGACACACATGTAAAAGCTTGCGGGAGGGATGGGGAAAAGGGAAGAGAGACTGGCGCCTTAATGACAGGTTTTGATTAATTCAAACTTCCATACTCGAGGAATCTACCCAAGAGAGTGGTATGTAAGTGGAGATATAGCCTGATACGCTGTGGTAGCGGCAAGGTTTAGGTAAGCAAGGCCTCCGAAATGCACATTAGGAACAGAAAAAGGTAACATGGGTTAAAGTTTTAATTTTTTTTTTACCTTTTACTTGTAAGTCAATAGATAAGTCGGAGCCCATTCATTCGTCCCTTCCAAGGGCTTCGAATTCAAGTTCATATTTGCGAGTCGGGCAAAGTGAATAAACCGTCCACTTCACTATAGACTGGTCTTGGTGGGGATGTTAATTTGGTGGTGGGGGGGAAGGAATGTCTAGGATGTTACTTAAGACTGGAGGTTTATTGGTTGTACCCTAAATAGGGATATCTTAAGACTTCTGACTGCATAAGAAAATCCTGAGGAAGTTACTTTCGTAGCTAGATATTGATGTGTTACTGGGTAGAGAGATCTAGAGGTGTAGGTGAGGTAGGCAGATCTAGTGCTGTAACTGAGGTAGGCAGATCTAGTGCTGTAACTGAGGCAGGCAGACCTGGAAGCGCTGCTCCTCTACTGAGATCAACGGGTTGTTATTGTGTAGGAAATTTTAGTGTCGTAGGTGATATCGGAATGACAAGGGTAAGGTAAAAGGTGCCATCTAGTGCCATCACTCAGGCGGGAAAGGGAAAGACAACTTGAGAGCTTTGTTTACCTGGAGCCCGCATCCACGTCAACTCTGGCACCGGGTAGCCACGGGCACTGCAGTCAAGGACCACTGTTGACCCCACTAGTGCCGTGGCACTCGCTGGTTCCACCACCCACCGCGGTGACACCTGTGGATGGGGTCATACCTATACACCTGTGGATGGGGTCATACCTATACACCTGTGGATGGGGTCACATATATGGGCGAGTCACACCAATACACCTGTGAGTGGGTCACTTCCTATGGCGCATACCTGCATTTAATATGATTGTAATCTGAAGTACTTTTCGTATCGAAGTTCGAAGAAGAGTTACAGTGATGTGGTTTCAATTTTGATGTTTATGTACACCTTCAATCACTAAGCTTCTTCAGCGTGTTACTGGAAGCACAGCTGAAGCTTACCGTTATCTCTAAGAACTTCAGTTCGCATCGCTAATCCGATACTTAACCCGAACCACCCACCATACCCTGCTCCACCTTCAGTGACCTGTAACGGAGTTCCTAGGTGAACTCTTTGGTACTGACTGGTGCGAAGCAGAGATACTGATCTGTTGCTGCTAGGACTCTCCCTTGTAGGCCTACAATGGATCAAGGATTTTGGATGTACTCTAATGCCTTATTGACTATTTTGTTCTAGTATTTGGTTACTCTTGGTCATTATGGCTTATCTAAAGCCAGAACGATGACCTACTTTGACCTACCTTAATCTTGACTTACTTTACCTTGACCTACTATGACCTTGAATTACTTTGACCTTGCCCTACCTTGACCCTGTTCTACTTTGACCTACTTTGACCCTGACCTACTTTGACCCTTGACCTACTTTGACCCTTGTCCTACTTTGACCCTTGACCTACTTTGACCCTTGACCTACATTGACCCTTGACCTACCTTGACCCTGACAGCAGCGGTGTAGTTGACTGTGGCGGCAGCGTTCGCGGCCTCGCAGGTGTAGGAGCCAGAATGATGTTCGCGGAGCTTCTTGAAGAGCAGCACCTGGGGGAGGCATGAAGCACACAGCGTTAGCAGCGGTGGGGCCCCGCCGCTCGCTTCTTAATACCATTACTAACCCAACAGTTTCATGTCTACGTACACAGCTTGTAAACAAGACCCGACACCCCCTCGATGGAAACCCAAGGTTTCCTTCCATCGAGGTTTCCTTCCATCGAGGTTTCCTTCCATCGAGGTTTCCTTCCATCGAGGTTTCCTTCCATCGAGGTTTCCATTATTTTGTAACAGGAGGTGGGTGGTACGTACGACTAAATAGCATAATACCGGCATTGGTGGGGACTTAAAACAAAAAAAATAATTCCCCTCTAATATTTTTTCCTTTTCTGTTCTCAGAGGTCGTGGGTTCCCCTACCCAACCTGAGGTGGGGCCCGCCTTCATCTACACAAACTGATTCAGTAAGTGATGATATTCTTTGTGTTCAGGTGTTTAACGACTGCGTCTTGAGTACAGTGTTCTCGTGATCATTGCGTCACGCAGAACTGTTACCATAAGTGTTGATTGTGCATTAAATACTGACTCATAATACATGTTTTGCTTCAATTACACATACACACAGCCAATAGAGGTCCTCATAAAGATGTAAGATTCTAGTGAGAACTGACATAGTAAATAAAGGAATAATGTTCAATGTAAGTAAGACGTCCCCAGACCCACCTTGGAGTAATCACTCATGGACTTGATATCAATACCGGGGTCGTGCTGGAGGTGTCGGCTGTCCTTGAGCCAGTTGATGGTGATGGGGAGGTCACCGGAGTTGATCATGCAGGTCAACTGCGTCCGCTCGCCCTCCTGCAGCTCACTCCGGAACGAGAACGGCTCGATCTTGGGGGGCTCTAGGGAAACGAAAATAACGCGGCTGGAACACGGTAACAACCATAGATGTGAGGTGAAAGTTGAGGACGTTCAGTGAGTTGAATCCTAGTTAGGTCGTGACTCTGTGTTGGTGAGTTGACATTATCGACACTGATGATTTCTTTTTATTTCAAAATTGTGTAAGAGAGTGTGTGTGTGTGTGTGTGTGTGTGTGTGTGTGATTATTTATATATATATATATATATATATATATATATATATATATATATATATATATATATATATATATATATATTTATATTTATATTATATTATATTAAAGTGTCAGAAGGAAGGATTAAGAGAGGAATTACCTTAAGTACTTTCGTATTTAATAATACATCTTCAGAAGGATGTATTTATTGATCCTTCTGTAAAAAAAAAAATCGAAAGTATTTTCGAAAGTACGAAAGTACTTAGGGAAATTCGAGTCTTAATCTTTCATTCGTGGTCTGTCACTGTCACATTGTTCATCATGTGTTAATTTTTTGGGGTTATGCATTGTAATGAACATGAAAACAGAGTGTACCTTACATTCTACAGTAGAATTTCATCACAGAACGTAGAAAAGGCTTTAAGTATACCCAGTGCATATACACTTGAGAAGCACACTACACCTTACACTGAACCTATCAGTGTTCAGGCATACGGGTGGGTTTAGTTTGGTGTCGAGTTTGTTTGACCCAACCACTTGGGCTGGACGGTAGAGCGACGGTCTCGCTTCATGCAGGTCGGCGTTCAATCCCCGACCGTCCAAGTGGTTGGGGCACCATTCCTTTCCCCCGTCGCATCCCAAAACCTTGTCCTGACCCCTTCCAAATGCTATATAGTCGTGATGGCTTGGTGCTTTACCCTGATAATTCCTTCCTTCCTTACCCGCGGGAATGTTGCTAAGGTCTTCACAATGACTTATAAACCAACTTGAAAAAAAATTGCTTTATTCCTGAACAAAGTGTTTTACTAGTATATTCACATAGAGAAATGTGGTACATCTTTCAGTGTTTGTACCCCCTTGCGGGAGAGTTGGGGGGGGGGGTTGGATGTGCGGGAGAGGTGATAGTAGGTTTGGATTGACACGTACTGAGCACGTGGAGAAAAACGTGAGAGGAGGCAGTCTGCCCCTGTCTGCCGGTGACGACGCACGTGTAGCGGCCGGCATCCTCGTTGCCTGCGTTCCTCACTATCAGCGTCCCGTTGGTCACTATATCCTGTCTGCAACACACAAGTATCATCTTTAGAACACCTGATTTTGTGGCGACATTCTTTAAAGTCAAGAAGGCTTCAGTATTTGAAATATCACTAGACTTCATCCCCCAAATGCTGGTGATTCTCGAAATACTCGAAGCACAGACACTACACCTTTGGCACCCACCATCAACGCAGACACTACACCTTTGGCACCCACCATCAACGCAGACACTACACCTTTGGCACCCACCATCAACGCAGACACTACACCTTTGGCACCCACCATCAACGCAGACACTACACCTTTGGCACCCACTGCATTCGAACGAGTCTACATTCTACTTTCCTCTGATGAAAGCGATTTAAGTCGAAAACGCGTTTAGCATTCCCTATTTTTCACATGTGGTTCTTCCGCATACTTAGATCAGGTTTTTTTTATCATTGTTGCATATATATATATATATATATATATATATATTTTATTAAATATGACCGAAAAAGTAAGATTAATAATTCTAACACGAATTTTCTCAATCTTTCGTACATTATGCTTCACTGTTGGAGGTAAATCAAAAATCACTTCTCCAAAATTCATTTTTATTTCTAGTCTGACGCGACACGGGCGCGTTTCGTAAAACTTATTACATTTTCAAAGACTTCACAAATACACAACTGATTAGAACTTGCGTTTCCCTGATTTTATATCTACATTTGAGTGAGGTGGGAAGGGTGATGTGGCATTACATTTGAGTGAGGTGGGAAGGATGATGTGGCATTAGAGGATATTAATAGGGTATTAAAAGTATCAACACAAGACAGAACACGAAACAATGGATATTGAATAGAAGTGTTTGTAGAAAGCCTATTGGTCCATATTTCTTGATGCTTCTATATTGGAGCGGAGTCTTGAGGTGGGTAGAATATAGTTGTGCAATAATTGGCTGTTGATTGCTGGTGTTGACTTCTTGATGTGTAGTGCCTCGCAAACGTCAAGCCGCCTGCTATCGCTGTATCTATCGATGATTTCTGTGTTGTTTACTAGGATTTCTCTGGCGATGGTTTGGTTATGGGAAGAGATTATATGTTCCTTAATGGAGCCCTGTTGTTTATGCATCGTTAAACGCCTAGAAAGAGATGTTGTTGTCTTGCCTATATACTGGGTTTTTTGGAGCTTACAGTCCCCAAGTGGGCATTTGAAGGCATAGACGACGTTAGTCTCTTTTAAAGCGTTCTGTTTCGTGTCTGGAGAGTTTCTCATGAGTAGGCTGGCCGTTTTTCTGGTTTTATAGTAAATCGTCAGTTGTATCCTCTGATTTTTGTCTGTAGGGATAACGTTTCTATTAACAATATCTTTCAGGACCCTTTCCTCTGTTTTATGAGCTGTGGAAAAGAAGTTCCTGTAAAATAGTCTAATAGGGGGTATAGGTGTTGTGTTAGTTGTCTCTTCGGAGGTTGCATGGCTTTTTACTTTCCTTCTTATGATGTCTTCGATGAAACCATTGGAGAAGCCGTTATTGACTAGAACCTGCCTTACCCTACAGAGTTCTTCGTCGACTTGCTTCCATTCTGAGCTGTGGCTTAGAGCACGGTCGACGTATGCGTTAACAACACTCCTCTTGTACCTGTCAGGGCAGTCGCTGTTGGCATTTAGGCACATTCCTATGTTTGTTTCCTTTGTGTAGACTGCAGTGTGGAAACCTCCGCCCTTTTCCATGACTGTTACATCTAGAAAAGGCAGCTTCCCATCCTTTTCCGTCTCGTAAGTGAAACGCAGCACGGAACTCTGCTCAAATGCCTCCTTCAGCTCCTGCAGATGTCTGACATCAGGTACCTGTGTAAAAATGTCGTCAACATACCTGCAGTATATGGCCGGTTTCAAGTTCATGTCGACTAAGACTTTTTGCTCGATGGTACCCATGTAGAAGTTTGCAAACAGGACACCTAGGGGAGAACCCATAGCGACCCCATCTACTTGCTTATACATATGCCCATCCGGGCTCAAGAAGGGTGCCTCTTTAGTACAAGCTTGGAGTAGTTTCCTCAGAATACTTTCTGGCATGTCAAGAGGAGTACAGGCTGGATCACGATACACTCTGTCGGCTATCATTCCGATTGTCTCGTCCACAGGTACGTTGGTAAACAGCGATTCTACGTCCAACGAGGCTCTTATCCCTGTGGCCCGTGCGCCCCGCAGTAAGTCCACAAATTCCTTTGGAGACTTCAGGCTGAAGGCGCAAGGAACGTAAGGAGTCAGCAGGCCGTTGAGTCGCTTTGCCAATCTGTACGTGGGTGTGGGTATCTGGCTAATGATTGGCCGAAGTGGGTTTCCAGGCTTGTGCGTCTTGACATTTCCATACGCATATCCAGGTTTATATTCCCCAATGATCTTTGGCAGGTGGAGTCCGGATTTCTTGGCGTTCACAGTTTCGATCAGTTTGTTGACCTTTGCTTTTAATTCGGCTGTAGTGTCCTTCGTTACCCTTTGGAACTTAGTTTGGTCAGAGAGTATGATGTTCATTTTCGCCAGATATTCGTCTTTTTTAAGAATGACAAAAAGTGGAGTTGGAAATTCTGTTGGACGACATATTCGACCTCGAGACACAAAAGAAGGTCACTACCAAAGATACCTTACAAGCAGAACTTATTGCAGAAGGAGGAAAGAATCGAGGCAACTACAGAAGCACCATACTGTCCCCCGAGCTTAGAGCGGCAGCTAAAAGCCTTCGTGAGAACAAGGAGATAGTTGTCAGGAGAGGTGACAAGTCGCCAATATATGTCATTCTTAAAAAAGACGAATATCTGGCGAAAATGAACATCATACTCTCTGACCAAACTAAGTTCCAAAGGGTAACGAAGGACACTACAGCCGAATTAAAAGCAAAGGTCAACAAACTGATCGAAACTGTGAACGCCAAGAAATCCGGACTCCACCTGCCAAAGATCATTGGGGAATATAAACCTGGATATGCGTATGGAAATGTCAAGACGCACAAGCCTGGAAACCCACTTCGGCCAATCATTAGCCAGATACCCACACCCACGTACAGATTGGCAAAGCGACTCAACGGCCTGCTGACTCCTTATGTTCCTTGCGCCTTCAGCCTGAAGTCTCCAAAGGAATTTGTGGACTTACTGCGGGGCGCACGGGCCACAGGGATAAGAGCCTCGTTGGACGTAGAATCGCTGTTTACCAACGTACCTGTGGACGAGACAATCGGAATGATAGCCGACAGAGTGTATCGTGATCCAGCCTGTACTCCTCTTGACATGCCAGAAAGTATTCTGAGGAAACTACTCCAAGCTTGTACTAAAGAGGCACCCTTCTTGAGCCCGGATGGGCATATGTATAAGCAAGTAGATGGGGTCGCTATGGGTTCTCCCCTAGGTGTCCTGTTTGCAAACTTCTACATGGGTACCATCGAGCAAAAAGTCTTAGTCGACATGAACTTGAAACCGGCCATATACTGCAGGTATGTTGACGACATTTTTACACAGGTACCTGATGTCAGACATCTGCAGGAGCTGAAGGAGGCATTTGAGCAGAGTTCCGTGCTGCGTTTCACTTACGAGACGGAAAAGGATGGGAAGCTGCCTTTTCTAGATGTAACAGTCATGGAAAAGGGCGGAGGTTTCCACACTGCAGTCTACACAAAGGAAACAAACATAGGAATGTGCCTAAATGCCAACAGCGACTGCCCTGACAGGTACAAGAGGAGTGTTGTTAACGCATACGTCGACCGTGCTCTAAGCCACAGCTCAGAATGGAAGCAAGTCGACGAAGAACTCTGTAGGGTAAGGCAGGTTCTAGTCAATAACGGCTTCTCCAATGGTTTCATCGAAGACATCATAAGAAGGAAAGTAAAAAGCCATGCAACCTCCGAAGAGACAACTAACACAACACCTATACCCCCTATTAGACTATTTTACAGGAACTTCTTTTCCACAGCTCATAAAACAGAGGAAAGGGTCCTGAAAGATATTGTTAATAGAAACGTTATCCCTACAGACAAAAATCAGAGGATACAACTGACGATTTACTATAAAACCAGAAAAACGGCCAGCCTACTCATGAGAAACTCTCCAGACACGAAACAGAACGCTTTAAAAGAGACTAACGTCGTCTATGCCTTCAAATGCCCACTTGGGGACTGTAAGCTCCAAAAACCCAGTATATAGGCAAGACAACAACATCTCTTTCTAGGCGTTTAACGATGCATAAACAACAGGGCTCCATTAAGGAACATATAATCTCTTCCCATAACCAAACCATCGCCAGAGAAATCCTAGTAAACAACACAGAAATCATCGATAGATACAGCGATAGCAGGCGGCTTGACGTTTGCGAGGCACTACACATCAAGAAGTCAACACCAGCAATCAACAGCCAATTATTGCACAACTATATTCTACCCACCTCAAGACTCCGCTCCAATATAGAAGCATCAAGAAATATGGACCAATAGGCTTTCTACAAACACTTCTATTCAATATCCATTGTTTCGTGTTCTGTCTTGTGTTGATACTTTTAATACCCTATTAATATCCTCTAATGCCACATCATCCTTCCCACCTCACTCAAATGTAATGCCACATCACCCTTCCCACCTCACTCAAATGTAGATATAAAATCAGGGAAACGCAAGTTCTAATCAGTTGTGTATTTGTGAAGTCTTTGAAAATGTAATAAGTTTTACGAAACGCGCCCGTGTCGCGTCAGACTAGAAATAAAAATGAATTTTGGAGAAGTGATTTTTGATTTACCTCCAACAGTGAAGCATAATGTACGAAAGATTGAGAAAATTCGTGTTAGAATTATTAATCTTACTTTTTCGGTCATATTTAATAAAATATGTCTACAGGAAAGACTGCTACCAAAATATACTATATATATATATATATATATATATATATATATATATATATATATATATATATATATATATATATATTATTAAATATGACCGAAAAAGTAAGATTAATAATTCTAACACGAATTTTCTCAATCTTTCGTACATTACGCTTCACTGTTGGAGGTAAATCAAAAATCACTTCTCCAAAATTCATTTTTATTTCTAGTCTGTTGCGACACGGGCGCGTTTCGTAAAACTTATTACATTTTCAAAGACTTCACAAATACACAACTGATTAGAACTTGCGTTTCTCTGATTTTATATCTACATTTGAGTGAGGTGGGAAGGGTGATGTGGCATTAACACAAGACAGAACAATAGGGGATATTAATAGGGTATTAAAAGTATCAACACAAGACAGAACAGAAACAATGGGTATTGAATAGAAGTGTTTGTAGAAAGCCTATTGGTCCATATTTCTTGATGCTTCTATATTGGAGCGGAGTCTTGAGGTGGGTAGAATATAGTTGTGCAATAATTGGCTGTTGATTGCTGGTGTTGACTTCTTGATGTGTAGTGCCTCGCAAACGTCAAGCCGCCTGCTATCGCTGTATCTATCGATGATTTCTGTGTTGTTTACTAGGATTTCTCTGGCGATGGTTTGGTTATGGGAAGAGATTATATGTTCCTTAATGGAGCCCTGTTGCTTATGCATCGTTAAACGCCTAGAAAGAGATGTTGTCTTGCCTATATACTGGGTTTTTTGGAGCTTACAGTCCCCAAGTGGGCATTTGAAGGCATAGACGACGTTAGTCTCTTTTAATGCGTTCTGTTTTGTGTCTGGAGAGTTTCTCATGAGTAGGCTGGCCGTTTTTCTGGTTTTATAGTAAATCGTCAGTTGTATCCTCTGATTTTTGTCTGTAGGGATAACGTTTCTATTAACATTATCTTTCAGGACCCTTTCCTCCGTTTTATGAGCTGTGGAAAAGAAGTTCCTGTAAAATAGTCTAATAGGGGGTATAGGTGTTGTGTTAGTTGTCTCTTCGGAGGTTGCATGGCTTTTCACTTTCCTTCTTATGATGTCTTCGATGAAACCATTGGAGAAGCCGTTATTGACTAGGACCTGCCTTACCCTACAGAGTTCTTCAGAACTCTGTAGGGTAAGGCAGGTCCTAGTCAATAACGGCTTCTCCAATGGTTTCATCGAAGACATCATAAGAAGGAAAGTGAAAAGCCATGCAACCTCCGAAGAGACAACTAACACAACACCTATACCCCCTATTAGACTATTTTACAGGAACTTCTTTTCCACAGCTCATAAAACGGAGGAAAGGGTCCTGAAAGATATTGTTAATAGAAACGTTATCCCTACAGACAAAAATCAGAGGATACAACTGACGATTTACTATAAAACCAGAAAAACGGCCAGCCTACTCATGAGAAACTCTCCAGACACAAAACAGAACGCATTAAAAGAGACTAACGTCGTCTATGCCTTCAAATGCCCACTTGGGGACTGTAAGCTCCAAAAAACCCAGTATATAGGCAAGACAACAACATCTCTTTCTAGGCGTTTAACGATGCATAAGCAACAGGGCTCCATTAAGGAACATATAATCTCTTCCCATAACCAAACCATCGCCAGAGAAATCCTAGTAAACAACACAGAAATCATCGATAGATACAGCGATAGCAGGCGGCTTGACGTTTGCGAGGCACTACACATCAAGAAGTCAACACCAGCAATCAACAGCCAATTATTGCACAACTATATTCTACCCACCTCAAGACTCCGCTCCAATATAGAAGCATCAAGAAATATGGACCAATAGGCTTTCTACAAACACTTCTATTCAATACCCATTGTTTCTGTTCTGTCTTGTGTTGATACTTTTAATACCCTATTAATATCCCCTATTGTTCTGTCTTGTGTTAATGCCACATCACCCTTCCCACCTCACTCAAATGTAGATATAAAATCAGAGAAACGCAAGTTCTAATCAGTTGTGTATTTGTGAAGTCTTTGAAAATGTAATAAGTTTTACGAAATGCGCCCGTGTCGCGTCAGACTAGAAATAAAAATGAATTTTGGAGAAGTGATTTTTGATTTACCTCCAACAGTGAAGCGTAATGTACGAAAGATTGAGAAAATTCGTGTTAGAATTATTAATCTTACTTTTTCGGTCATATTTAATAATATATGTCTACAGGAAAGACTGCTACCAAAATATACTAATATATATATATATATATATATATATATATATATATATATAATATATAATATATAAAATAATAATATTTACTACCACTTGCAAACAATGGAGGAGGTAAGGTACCCTGTAGGACTCACCTGAGGGAGGTAGGGAGTGGGTGGCCGTCCCGACGCCAGCTGATGGAGGGAGTAGGATACCCTCCTGCAGGACACCACAGCCTTACGTCCTCCCCAGACATCGCCGTCACGTTGTCCATGGCCCTCACGAAGGGCGGACCTGCAGGGGAAGGAATATGAGGACAAGGATCTGGAAAAGGACTGAGGGAAGAAATGGTGCCCAGCTCCTTAGAGCCTCTGGCTCCAACACCGACCTGCAAGGAGCCAGAGCTCTGCTGTACCGACCAGTCCAAAGTGGCAGTTTAATAATCATTGAGTCATAGGATATTTTAGATAAAGTTGCGTTTAAGTGCCCGAGCATTATACTAAATTTCACTTAAAAGTTAAAAGGCCGTGAAAAGTTGACTACAGGTAAGAAATGATCCACACAGTAGCAATCTTAACATGCAGTATTTTCTGGTACAACTTATTTGTCCCATATTGTAAGAGCGGAGGAATTTGTAAGTGATGTTACTATAATTACCATATCTCGATATATAAAACAGGATCGAAAACTATATTAATGAATATTATAACCGTTGTAAGGGTCAATGTGAAGTCTATACACTGAAAAGGAGCGGATTATATACATATAATTATAAAATATTCGCACTCTGTGATGGTGAGATCACATACAAAACATTGTGTGTGTGTGAGACAGTCAATCGCCGCTCTTTATAATGAGTCTTGGTTATTCCCCTGATACATGATCTGCTTTTCACCGTTCATATTTTCTGACTCATGGTGAACCCAGATGAGTTGACTCAGCCGGCTGCTGGCTTACTCATCCGTTACGGTCTGGTGGTAACGAACGTTACAACAATCACAGTTATAATCACAGTTGTAATCAGTTACAACAATCACAGCTAATATTACGGACTACGCTGACGGAATGGTTATTTCACTCGTCCCACAACCCGTCCTCGACTCAAGTCCGTTCCATCCAGCGGTCGACCCCACAGACGCATTCATAAACTTTTATATGCTGTTCATTCAAAACAGGGATTTTCTCAAATATAAATTAATATTATAATAGCATATTCTGCATATATATTGGCATAGGTTAGGTTAGGTGTTTAGGATCTGTTGGCGATTATTTGTTTTGTAGTACGTGGGTGAAGCATTTACAAAGTTGTAGTTCGAACAAAATTCGTCAGTGAAGCACTTGTTCCGGAAGTGTTCGGACGTCATCAGTTGTGTGTCGTGTGTAAACCGTTGTTCATTCATAAACAGCTTGGGTTTGGCGGGTGCATGGAATCACTTTTGGATCTATGTTTGGAGTACGGACTGCGTCCCACCGTTGAATGAATTGGGGTTCGAGTTTTCACTCAGGAGAGCATGTGGTGGTTTCTCATTCAGATTGTTAGTTTCAGTAATATACCCATATCCTCTGAAGTTAATAAATGTCCAACATGGTAATGGAGATTGACCTTCCTCTTTGAGTCCGTGGACGGTTGGACTCGACAAATACTCATTTCAGGCCATGCACTTCATGGTCTATGGCTGCGTCATAGTCCATAAAACAATGCCAGTCTAAAGTGTACTCACATCATATATACTGTATGTACTTATGACAGAAAGAATAGTTTGTCTATTTACAAAGGAGTTATCTAGTTTCCTGATAATATGCAAGATGTGAAATGCAGTCTCCGGTCATTCCTGATCTTGTCACGTTCCATATTGACTAGCGACACATCAGTCAATCATCAACAATATATTGACATCCTCTCACTATCCTCATTGGTCTCAGCTTCGCCCCCCTTCCTAACCTCATTAATATTCATGCCGTATACTCACTCCGTACACCCTCTGGTAACTATAACCGTTGGTAGATACGCCCAGCAGCATCTCTAAACGACTACTACGTGTTGCCTTATGCAGTAAGGTGATTCACAAGAGCGTTGTTGCCACCGCTAACCATCGCCGCTCACAGATGAGCTGGAAACTAAAGCCTTAACCACACCAGCCGGAAAACACTGGCGATGACGCAAACCAGACTATCATTACCGTGAAAAACTGCGCTCATTTGCCGCTATAAAAGTGGAGCACAATGGGTGGTAGTGAAGCCAAAGAACACACTCGTTTGTCCCGCCCAAAATATGTGCGACCCATACAGTCTTCCCACCAGGCGGCTACAACCACACAATGGCCAGCTTACGAAGGCATATTTCTCGTTTTTGTTTCCTGGTAACGAAACAATGTACTCGAATACGAAGAGAGGCCAGAAAAATAAATATTTAGTGTATGCCCAATCTGTACCTGTAACACGTCGCTGGCAGGAACAAAACAATGAACTGGGGGGTCATTTACGGTGGTGCTAATGGGAAAAGACTCGGTTTAGAGTGAGGTCAGTGGCAACTGGTAAACACTGTACTGGCGGCGTGCGAACTGGAGGGGTAAATGCCTCTGACATAACTCACCCACTTGCTTTTTTTCCCCCTATACGACTTTACTTTCCGTACTGAACAATTGCTATGTAAAGGCAGTATACACAGAAAGATATTCCCTGCGTCTCTGTGTAAATACTTTAAGTCTGAACATCGTTCAGGACTAAAGTATGGTCGCTCGTTGGTCAGAAAGGTATTGTGGGGGGGTCTTATTAACCCTCCAGCGATTGACAGGCCACAAGGCCTACACCAAACCAATATCTATGAGAGATATCTCTTAGAAATCACAAATAAACGAACATTTGGTTGCTATAGTCTTGGAGCTTTTTTTCTAACTGACTGGTGAGAGCTCACTAACTCATTCTTTAATTCACTCACAGTATTACTGCACTCACTCTCAACCACTCCTTTTCTTTCATTCACTCGGATCCACATGCCTAACCAGTCACACTTCTGACCTCAGGACCTTCTGTTCGCCAAAGCCGTTGACGAACAGGAGGAGGGGGGGGGGAAGGTTATAGAAAAGGACAACATTAGCACGAGGACAGTTACCGTAGACGTTGAGCCTGGCGGTGTGGGCGACGGAGCCATGGACGTTTTTGGCGGTGCAGGTGTAGTAGCCGCCCTCCCGCGCCGTCACGGAGCTCAGGTTCACTACGCTCACCACCTCCCCCTGGGGCGTCCTCGAGCTCCTCTCACTCGTGCTACGGGACACACACACACTTCTCAGAGACACGAAGGAGAGGCGTAAAGATGGAAGAGACGAATGATGAGCGTATAAATACAATAGACGTACAGAGAAGAGAGCACAAGTTACAGCCCCGCTCCTGTGCCAGGTAAGTCCACCACGGGCTCACCATAGCCCATGCTACTTGGACCTTTTATTCTGAGTAGCTGAATCTAAAACAACAATAGAGAAAAGACGAATGAGAGGCGAAGAGATAGAAGACACGAATGAGATTCGTATATAAAGAAGAGACGTATAAATAGAAGGAACGAATGAGAGGCGTGTGGATTTCAGACAGGGAGGGACAGTGTATAGATGCTCGGGGTAGATATAGAGGGCACCCGAAGCTACATTAAAGTATCTATATACTTCACTATACGTGATAGTGATATAGCAGTAATATGCACACACTATGAAACAGTCTATGTGTTTCCCAACTTACACTCGGGCAACCCATACAACAAAAATTCCGACTACAGTAATAAACTGTATCCAGTCATATTACAGTAAATTGCTGTTTAATTATACACACACTATTTAACGACAACAGTTGACATAAATACTTAATCTACAAAAATATTATTTAATAAAAATTACGTACAGTTACAAGAGGGATAAGATTTAGAGATAATATTGCATATAGACCAATTCTTGAACTTGTCGTTCCACACTTAGCTTATTATGGCATTGTGAGAGAAGTCAGTTAGTGTCATTAGGAAATGATATAAGATTAAGGATTTAAGTTATTTTGTAGTTTAATGTTGTAAACATTATATTTCCAGAGATATCCAAGTACATTTCCTTGAAGTTTATCTTCTTTATTGGGAAAGTTGCTGAGGTGTGGTTGGATGACTGTTGCTGAAGTGTGGTTGGATGACTGTTGCTGAAGTGTGGTTGGATGACTGTTGCTGAGGTATGGCTGGATGACTGTTGCTGAGGTGTGGCTGGATGACTGTTGCCGAGGTGTGGCTGGATGACTGTTGCTGAGGTGTGGCTGGATGACTGTTGCTGAGGTATGGCTGGATGACTGTTGCTGAGGTGTGGCTGGATGACTGTTGCCGAGGTGTGGCTGGATGACTGTTGCTGAGGTGTGGCTGGATGACTGTTGCTGAGGTTTGGCTGGATGACTGTTGCTGAGGTGTGGCTGGATGACTGTTGCTGAGGTGTGGCTGGATGACTGTTGCTGAGGTATGGCTGGATGACTGTTGCTGAGGTATGGCTGGATGACTGTTGCTGAGGTGTGGCTGGATGACTGTTGCTGAGGTGTGGCTGGATGACTGTTGCTGAGGTGTGGCTGGATGACTGTTGCTGAGGTGTGGCTGGATGACTGTTGCTGAGGTGTGGCTGGATGACTGTTGCTGAGGTGTGGCTGGATGACTGTTGCTGAGGTGTGGCTGGATGACTGTTGCTGAGGTGTGGCTGGATGACTGTTGCTGAGGTGTGGCTGGATGACTGTTGCTGAGGTGTGGCTGGATGACTGTTGCTGAGGTGTGGCTGGATGACTGTTGCTGAGGTGTGGCTGGATGACTGTTGCTGAGGTGTGGCTGGATGACTGTTGCTGAGGTGTGGCTGGATGACTGTTGCTGAGGTGTGGCTGGATGACTGTTGCTGAGGTGTGGCTGGATGACTGTTGCTGAGGTGTGGCTGGATGACTGTTGCTGAGGTGTGGCTGGATGACTGTTGCTGAGGTGTGGCTGGATGACTGTTGCTGAGGTGTGGCTGGATGACTGTTGCTGAGGTGTGGCTGGATGACTGTTGCTGAGGTGTGGCTGGATGACTGTTGCTGAGGTGTGGCTGGATGACTGTTGCTGAGGTGTGGCTGGATGACTGTTGCTGAGGTGTGGCTGGATGACTGTTGCTGAGGTGTGGCTGGATGACTGTTGCTGAGGTGTGGCTGGATGACTGTTGCTGAGATATGCTAGAATGTCTGGATGTATCCAAATGAATAACTCCAGTTAAGTCATCCGTCAGCATGATACAATTAACATGATCACTCTCATCAAAAGCTTCTTATTTGATAATAATGAAACCAAAATCAGTTTCTTTTTTTGGTAAGTGCTGAGTAGGTGAAGTCGAGCAGTATAAATCAGCACCAATTACCTCTCTGTAGCGTCGCCAATTAAATTCACGTTCAGTTGCCCAATTTCTGCTGGATGCACAGAGCCATCATTAGTGCTCCACTGAGATCTAAAGCCACACTGGCTGCAGCACACACACTATTAAGCCCACCTCAGCAACATATATATATATATATATATATATATATATATATATATATATATATATATATATATATATATATATATATATATATATATATATATATATATATATATATATATATATATATATATATATATATATATATATATATAATGTATAATATATAATATATATATATAATCTCAAATATTTTCAATCGAATTGGTTGATTGTATATTGATCTAGAAGTATTTGTTAGTAGATCATCTCCTCTGTGTAGTGGGGTTGTTTCAGTCTTTTTAACCTGTTCTGGAAAGGTTTGATATTCGATGGATTCGTTGAATAGTTTGTTGAATATTTGCCGAATAATTAGGAGCACATGTGCAACGTTGATGTCAATCTTGGCTCGAATAGCACGTCGAGACGCTGTTGATATTAACAGTGTGAAGGTTTAAGACAGGATGGAATTCGTGATCGGGCAGGTTCGAATCCTCGTCACGGCCCTTGTGGATTAGTTCATTCGTGATCGGGATTCCTGGCTAAGGTCTGAAAGTAAGAGGTATGAACACTTAGTCAAGGCTTCATGGTTATATCCTTTATTATTAGTGAAAGTTAGAAGAGTCCAGAGTTAAAGGTTTGGAAATTTGCCCAAAAGCAGGATGCGCACAAAGTTAGAATACGCACAGGAAGTGAGAGTCTGAGATCTTCTTCACTCACGACACCAACGAATATGGTGTGTAGTTTTTGTAGTCGCCAGGTGCTGATGGTCTTGTGGCCCCCATGTGGGGAGGGGGAGAGGTTGCTTGTAGTGGAGGTCGGGCAGGGAGAGGAGGGGTGCTGAAGCCACATCTGAGGGAGGGGTGAGAGATGGCCACGTACCAGTGGGAAACTGGAGCTGGTGCCGTGCTTGTGGAACCTGGTGACGTGCCTGTGAGAGGGTGGGAGATGGCGACGTACCTGTGAGAGGGTGGGACCTGGTGACGTGCCTGTGAGAGGGTGGGAAATGGCGACGTACCTGTGGGAAGGAAGGAGAGGGCGGTGATCGCGAGTCCAGGTGACGACAGGAGGCGGAGTGCCCACAGCCGAACACTTGAGAGAGACGGGCGAACCTGGCGACACCGTCTGCTCGATGTGGGTGTAGTGCAATTGAGGCGCCGACTCTGTAGGGACAGTGAAGAGCGTCATGGAGGCTCCTAAGGACACTAAACTAAACTTAGCCTGCCTCCCACCCCCCAAATTTAATTAACAGATACTCGCCAAACACAAATACAACTACACACATACCAAACACACACACACACACACACACACACACACACACACACACACACACACACACACACACACACACACACACACACACACACACGTCACAGTCCTGTGGATATGCATCACGGAATATATATATATATATATATATATATATATATATATATATATATATATATATATATATATATATATACAAAGGCCCCGAGTAGGCGGGTTACACAGTGTTTTGATGATAATGAAAGGGGGAACAGGTTAGTAATTAAGAGGCTGCCTGACACTGTCAGTAATCTTTGAGATGAGTTCAGTGAAGATAATTCTAGTTCATGCGATAGGCACAAAATGGAGAACAAATCACCTCTCTGTACTGGTTTACCTGCTTCACAGTCTTGTGGTTTACATGCCGATCCCTAAGTGGTTTATCTGCTGGTCTCTTGTGTGGTTTATCTACCAGTCTTTTGCGGTTTACCTGTGTGACCCGCCTGGGGTTTACCTGTGTGACCCGCCTGGGGTTTACCTGTGTGACCCGCCTGGGGTTTACCTGTGTGACCCGCCTGGGGTTTACCTGTGTGACCCGCCTGGGGTTTACCTGTGTGACCTGCCTGGGGTTTACCTTTGAGACCTGCCTGGGGTTTACCAGTGTGACCTGTCTGGGGTTTACCAGTGTGACCTGTCTGGGGTTTACCTGTGTGACCCGCCTTGGGTTTACCTGTGAGACCCGCCTGGGGTTTACCTGTGAGACCCGCCTGGGGTTTACCTGTGAGACCTGCCTGGGGTTTACCTGTGAGACCGGCCTGGGGTTTACCTGTGAGACCGGCCTGGGGTTTACCTGTGTGACCTGCCTGGGGTTTACCTGTGTGACCTGCCTGGGGTTTACCTGTGTGACCTGCCTGGGGTTTACCTGTGTGACCTGCCTGGGGTTTACCTGGTCCTGCATAAGGGCTGAGGCCCAGGTCTCGTGATGGTCGACGTAGACGGCCGCCAGACTCTTCCACAACCTCGCTGGGACCCTGTAAGGACACCTGGTATTAGCGCCTCTCACACACCTGCGTCACACACCTGCGTCACACACCTACGTCAAACCCTTACGTCACAACATGACTTCACACCCCGGCGTCCACCCTTATCTCACTGGTGAACAAAAGATAAGGACACTGGTGAACAGGAGATAATGACACTGCATGATTTGACGGAATAAAAAATTTGGTTTTAACCTTTACCATCTCGAGTCTCAACCTCAGGTTAGGGTCAAAAAATGGATTAAACAAGATACAATATGGAACAGAACTGTTAATTGGAGTGAGGAGAAAACCCACTAAATGAGAAGAGACGCAGATACCCCCAAAAATGTGGGTCATGAGGTATATGTTAAAAATGTGGGTCATTGTCTAAATGTTAGCAAGTCTATACTAACGATAAGCCAGGTTCTTGGCATCTTCTTTTACCAATGATTGATTTTATTTCCTCGCTACAGCTGCAAGATAATATCTCAAGAGTCGCCCGGACGACAAACTTGTCGTTGACATCAATCACTCGCTGCTGAAGAGAGACAAATGAACGAGGCGGACAGGCTGAGGAAAAGAGTGCGCCTGGGAACTGTGAGAAAGAATTATATATATATATATATATATATATATATATATATATATATATATATATATATATATATATATATATATATATATATATATGTCGTACCTAGTAGCCAGAACGCACTTCTCAGCCTACTATGCAAGGCCCGATTTGCCTAAAAAGCCAAGTTTTCCTGAATTAATATATTTTCTCTATTTTTTTTCTTATGAAATGATAAAGCTACCCATTTCATTACGTATGAGGTCAATTTTCTTTTATTGGAGTTAAAATTAACGTAGATATATGACCGAACCTAACCAACCCTACCTAACCTAACCTATCTTTATAGGTTAGGTTAGGTTAGGTAGCCGAAAAAGTTAGGTTAGGTTAGGTTAGGTAGGTTAGGTAGTCGAAAAAACATTAATTCATGAAAACTTATTAGGCAAATCGGGCCTTGCATAGTAGGCTGAGAAGTGCGTTCTGGCTACTAGGTACGACATATATATATATATATATATATATATATATATATATATATATATATATATATATATATATATATAATATATATATATAATATGTATATATATATATATATATATATATATATATATATGTATATATAATGTGTGTGTGTGTGTGTGTGTGTGTGGCAAAAGTGGGTTTGGAGAGGAATATGCTTGGAAATAAATTGAGTGAATAGGTGAGGTTAGGTTCCAAGACTGGACAAACGGGTATAATGGAATAGAGCACCCGAGAGTAGAAGGTATGAGAGAGAGAGAGCTAAGATGAAAGAGACAGAGAGAGAAGAACGAGAATAGTGAAGAACAGGTAAAGATACCCACCCCCTTCCCAGCGTGTCCGTAGCGTTCACTGAAGCTCGGGCCACCATTGTCTCTCGCCTGATTACATTTGCATGTGCGGGGGCTTCAAAGAACATGGTCGCAGGCATCAATGTGACCCAAATGTAACTTGGGGACGATTTGACTTTCACTTAAAATTCAAATAAGGCGTCTCTAGGGATCATAACATATAAGGGGCTATGAGGCAAGGACGAGCTTGATGCAAATCTAGTTGGAGTATAGATTTCTTGCTGATAAACAGGCATTTGTTTTCATGACGGCGCTAGTGTGATGAGAGTTTATACAGGTGGGGAGGGAGGCTTTGTGTGTGTGTGTGTAAGTTTGTGAGTGTGTGTGAGTGTGTAAGTGTGTGTGTGTGTAAGTGTGTGTGTAAGTGTGTGTGTGTGTAAGTGTGTGTGTAAGTGTGTGTGTGTGTAAGTGTGTGTGTGTGTAAGTTTGTGTGTGTGTGTGTGTGTGTGTGTGTAAGTGTGTGTGTAAGTGTGTGTGTGTGTGTAAGTGTGTGTGTGTGTAAGTGTGTGTGTGTGTAAGTTTGTGTGTGTGTAAGTTTGTGTGTGTGTAAGTTTGTGTGTGTGTAAGTTTGTGTGTGTGTGTGTGTGTGTAAGTTTGTGTGTGTGTAAGTGTGTGTGTGTACTTGGTACCTGGTAATTTAGAGTATCTTTTCTTCCTGAGGCATCACGCACGTGATGTTTAACAACCGGTGCGGGCTCCGTTCCTTCGGAGTTTTCGTCAGAAGTTGTGCTGACGACGACGGCGGTGTTGTTGCTGTCAGTGCTGACGGCAGAAGTGCTGAAGGTGGTGTCAATGTAGCTGTCTGGGACTTCCCCACTGACATCACCGGTATTCCGACGTCTGGGCTCAGAGGTGTGAACGTCGCCAAGCGCGGGTGACGTTTGACTAGTCGTCCATTTGCTCTTGATGTGGTCACCGTGCTGCCACCTGCCGGTAAAATGTGTCGATTAACAAGGATAACATTTCCTATTTGATCCTCGAAGAGCAGACAAAGACAATGTATTTGTTGCTTGTAACAAAGATTACCATAAATCCCCATAGATCGTTGTAAATCCCCATATATCGTTGTAAATCCCCATAAATCGCTGTAAATCCCCATAAATCGCTGTAAATCCCCATAGATCGTTGTAAATCCCCATATATCGTTGTAAATCCCCATATATCGTTGTAAATCCCCATAGATCGTTGTAAATCCCCATAGATCGATGTAAATCCCCATAGATCGTTGTAAATCCCCATAAATCGTTGTAAATCCCCATAGAACGTTGTAAATCCCCATAAATCGTTGTAAATCCCCATAGATCGTTGTAAATCCCCATAAATCGCTGTAAATCCCCATAGATCGTTGTAAATCCCCATATATCGTTGTAAATCCCCATATATCGTTGTAAATCCCCATAGATCGTTGTAAATCCCCATTGATCGTTGTAAATCCCATAGATCGTTGTAAATCCCCATAGATCGTTGTAAATCCCCATAAATCGTTGTAAATCCCCATAGATCGTTGTAAATCCCCATAGATCGTTGTAAATCCCCATAGATCGTTGTAAATCCCCATAGATCGTTGTAAATCCCCATAGATCGTTGTAAATCCCCATAGATCGTTGTAAATCCCCATAAATCGCTGTAAATCTCCATAAATCGCTGCAAATCACCGTAGTTCGTTACAAATCACCGTAGATCGTTGTAAATCACCGTAGATCGTTGTAAATCACCGTAGATCGCTGTAAATCACCGTAGATCGTTGTAAATCACCGTAGATCGTTGTAAATCACCGTAGATCGTTGTAAATCACCGTAGATCGTTGTAAATCACCGTAGATCGCTGTAAATCACCGTAGATCGCTGTAAATCACCGTAGATCGCTGTAAATCACCGTAGATCGCTGTAAATCACCGTAGATCGCTGTAAATCCCCACAGATCGCTGTAAATCCCCACAGATCGTTGTAAATCCCCACAGATCGTTGTAAATCACCATAGATCGTTGTAAATCACCATAGATCGTTGTAAATCCCCATAGATCGTTGTAAATCCCCATAGATCGTTGTAAATCCCCATAGATCGTTGTAAATCCCCATAGATCGTTGTAAATCACTGTAGATCGTTTTAAATCACTGTAGATCGTTATAAATCACCGTAGATCGTTGTAAATCACCGTAGATCGTTGTAAATCACCATAGATCGCTGTAAATCACCATAGATCGCTGTAAATCACCATAGATCGCTGTAAATCACCATAGATCGTTGTAAATCACCATAGATCGTTGTAAATCACCATAGATCGTTGTAAATCACCATAGATCGTTGTAAATCACCATAGATCGCTGTAAATCACCATAGATCGTTGTAAATCACCATAGATCGTTGTAAATCACCATAGATCGTTGTAAATCACCATAGATCGTTGTAAATTACCATAGATCGCTGTAAATCACCATAGATCGCTGTAAATCACCATAGATTGTTGTAAATTACCATAGATCGTTGTAAATCACCATAGATCGCTGTAAATCACCATAGATCGTTGTAAAACACCATAGATCGTTGTAAATCACCATAGATCGTTGTAAATCACCATAGATCGCTGTAAATTACCATAGATCGTTGTAAATCACCATAGATCGCTGTAAATCACCATAGATCGTTGTAAATCACCATAGATCGTTGTAAATTACCATAGATCGCTGTAAATCACCATAGATCGCTGTAAATCACCATAGATTGTTGTAAATTACCATAGATCGTTGTAAAACACCATAGATTGTTGTAAATTACCATAGATCGTTGTAAAACACCATAGATCGTTGTAAATCACCATAGATCGTTGTAAATCACCATAGATCGCTGTAAATTACCATAGATCGTTGTAAATCACCATAGATCGCTGTAAATCACCATAGATCGTTGTAAATCACCATAGATCGTTGTAAATTACCATAGATCGCTGTAAATCACCATAGATCGCTGTAAATCACCATAGATTGTTGTAAATTACCATAGATCGTTGTAAAACACCATAGATTGTTGTAAATTACCATAGATCGTTGTAAAACACCATGGAAGGATCTCGATAGTCCCACATGACCAGCAAATTCTGAGTAACTAATATTAGAGTGTTTGTTTTCTTGACTAATGTGCGGGAGCCGATCCCGACGGTCACCACTTAGAGGAGCACCCCCTTAGAGGAGCACCACTTAGAGGAGCACCCCTTAGAGGAGCACCACTTAGAGGAGCACCCCCTTAGAGGAGCACCACTTAGAGGAGCACCCCCTTAGAGGAGCACCCCCTTAGAGGAGCACCACTTAGAGGAGCACCCCTTAGAGGAGCACCCCCTTAGAGGAGCACCCCCTTAGAGGAGCACCCCCTTAGAGGAGCACCCCCTTAGAGGAGCACCCCCTTAGAGGAGCACCACTTAGAGGAGCACCCCCTTAGAGGAGCACCCCCTTAGAGGAGCACCCCCTTAGAGGAGCACCCCCTTAGAGGAGCACCCCCTTAGAGGAGCACCACTTAGAGGAGCACCCCCTTAGAGGAGCACCCCCTTAGAGGAGCACCCCCTTAGAGGAGCACCCCCTTAGAGGAGCACCGCTTTGAAGAGCACCGCTTTGAAGAGCACCGCTTTGAAGAGCACCGCTTTGAAGAGCACCGCTTTGAAGAGCACCGCTTTGAAGAGCACCGCTTTGAAGAGCACCGCTTTGAAGAGCACCGCTTTGAAGAGCACCGCTTTGAAGAGCACCGCTTTGAAGAGCACCGCTTTAAAACAGTTACCACCTTCAATAAAATGAGCACGAGGATAATCCGATAATGGGACGCAGAATGACCAAAATATAACATTTCGTTTGGCCCCCAAAAGAGATTTGGAGGGATGGGGAGGAGGGGGGGGGGAGGAACACCAGGTGTGGGGGAGCATGTGTGGGGGGGAGGGGCAGGGGGCAGAGAGATTGTAGGTGGGTGGGGGAGATTTGGTGGAGGGAGTGGGGAGATTGGATGAACAGAAAATTGAGTGGGATGATTGGGTGGTTCAGGGGGCGAAGATTGGGTGGGGAAGGGGGGAGTAGGCAAGTGGGCGTGAGGGGGTGGACTGGGCGGGCGGTGCCTAACACAATCGTCGGCGGCCAATGGGCGGAGGACGTGGGCGGCATTATAAAAGCGTGGCGGTAAGAGTATTCGATGCCATAGCAAAAACTTAAAAACTAAATCTTTCCGATACATAAATATATTAGTGTCATTGATTCCCTTGTCCTGAGTGCCATCCACTCTGCTTTGGCAGAGTAGCCCATGCTGGCCCTACCTGTCACCCAGTGCCTGAATATACACTTATATTCGGTGTGGCTTGGGGCAGTGCCACTGCGATTCGAAGGACCTGCATTGTAAAATGTGGGCTGATTGGTGACATTGGGTTTACTAATAGAAAGTCACCCGCATGGAGAGCTGCTACGGCTCTAAGGCAAGTAGTATCGCGTGTTGATGCAGTATCTAAGTACATTGCAGCTTAGATACTCGGTTAACTTGCTCTGTCTACAATGGTCCCATCCCAGATGGGATGGGATGGCTTGCATATTTATATATATTTCTGAAGAGTTCTTGCAACTATTTTCTTATTCTACCTCTGTTGATTACTTTTCATTTAAAAACCTATATATTTAATAGATCCAAATAACATGGATAATAAGTTTCTCTTCAAAACTTACTTCATCTCTTTAGACTGCTAGCGGAAACGGACAGAGTTTTTTAGCCTGATGCGCCTGTTCACCTAGCAGTAAATAGGTACCTGGGAATTAGACTAGCATTTGCCAGGGAAGCAGCTAGCATTTCCTCTTAAATCTCAGCTCTGAAGCGCTGTAACACGAAATTGGTTGCTCTTGGTTCTCTTATTTCCATAACGAGTTTATCACCCAAACATTCCAGAATGGAGGAGAGTGTTATAACTATGTGGGAAACTATCTTAAAGTTAATTCTTTTTGTGTTTGAAAGTAGCTACACCGCCTCCTTTATATCCACTCTTCAGTGTAGATGAGGATGTATTTACAGAGTCCAACACTTTTTGCTTTTGACTGTCAACTGGGCTAGACTACGGGGATGGGGACGCTTATTTTGACTCAATGTACTCTACACGTCAAAATAATAATGGGAAATTATATGGACAAAAATAAGTTAAATCACAGTCTAAAGCTCTATTATGGGATTTTAAATTCCCCCTTAAAAAATTGTCAACAACTATATTATTTCAATTCACCTGTAAGATTTACTCGCGATCCTATGTTCAAACTCGAAAGGAATCTGTAATTATTAAAAGACCAATAACTGCTCAATATAGCGAGAGAGTAAGATATCACAAAATGTAACAGGATTATTTTTAGATAACGAACCCATGATTTAAGTTTCGCTTGCCATTCGATTGCATATTGTGTGTTTAGCTCCAGCGTTAGCGGCGTGACACAGACAGACCAACGCACTGAGCCGCTAGCTGCGTTACCCCACACCACTGGTAACGGAGAATTATATTAATGTTATGGTAGCAGGGAACAGCACACGAAATGAAACCCTGTTTTAATATATAGAGCAGGGGCACCTCCTACTCTTATATAGAGCAGGGGCACCTCCTACTCTTATCTAGAGCAGGGGCACCACCTACTCTTATATAGAGCAGGGGCACCTCCTACTCTTATATAGAGCAGGGGCACCACCTACTCTTATATAGAGCAGGGGCACCACCTACTCTTATATAGAGCAGGGGCACCTCCTACTCTTATATAGAGCAGGGGCACCTAATACTCTAATATATATAGAGCAGGGGCACCTCCTACTCTTATATAGAGCAGGGGCACCTCCTACTCTTATATAGAGCAGGGGCACCTCCTACTCTTATATAAAGCAGGGGCACCTCCTACTCTAATATATATAGAGCAGGGGCACCTCCTACTCTAATA